GGCCGTAATCGTTGATTTAAGCCGTAATCTTTAAGAAATTGACCAATCACAGTCGATTTTTCTTCTCACATTCGACTGTGATTGGTCAATTTCTTAAATATTGCGGCTTAAATCAACGGTTACGGCCTTTATAAATCAGCCTTAAATATTCTTATTTCTTATGAAAATTTCCAAACAAAAACAAAAGTCCCTACAGGAATTACATCGGGTGTCGGGCGATTTAAGTTGGCAACAGTGACTCCAGCGCAGGAAGAGACGCCGACTGTCCCCCCTCGCGTCGCCGGGCGCACTTCCGTTTCGCCATCTTTTATCTCGGGGAAGCGTGTGCCGTTTCGCATCCTGTTTCTATCGCGTAGTTTTACGGACCACTGACTTGGTGAGTACCAAAACATATCTCTCACTCCGCTATCGGGATCGTCGCGGCCGCACGCGCGCGCGAACGAGCGCGAGGAGCAGCAGGTGACGCGATCGGGATAGCTCGATACGCCACGTCGAGCTCGACGCGGCGCGCGCGTTCCGCTCGATTCGATCCGGCGCCGTCTAGCCGGTCTCCGTGAGTCCGTGCTATCTCGCGATCGAATTGCCGGCGCCCCGGACCGCCCCTCGGATCATCCGTCGGAACCATTCGCCGGGGCAATCGAGTATTCGAGGTCGACAATTCTTCTCGCGGCAGACGAGAAGACGATCCCCGCGGGAATTTCGGGATTCGGGCGAGGCGCCCGCCCGCCGGGCGCCGCGTCAAAATGCGCCGTGGGCTTCGATCGCCGCGCTTCCATTGTCACGCAGTGGGAAGGGTAGAGATCCGCGCTTTTGGCGTGACGCACGACGCACGTACTCCGGAGTCCGAATCCGCGGTTTATCGATCGCAATGCGTGTACTCCGTTTGGAGATCTGCGATCCGCTGTTTTTTCCTATCGAGTTTTTTTTTTTTTGCGATTTATCGATCGGGAATACGCGCGTTGGTCGCCGCCGTCGCGCGTCGCCGGTACGTCAATCGTAGCGTCGCATTGCGACCGTGTTTCTTTATTCGTTCCTTTCGTTGGCTTTTCACGATGTCAGACTCGAATTTGTTAAACTCGATCCGTGTTTCTCGCACCGCGGCGAGATTGAAGTTGAAAATTCTCGATGGGACGACTCACGACGCCTCCCTCGCGCCCGACGCGATCTATCGTCCGTCCTTGTTGCTCTCGCTCGTCCAATCTCTAGCCGTGACGCCCGTGACGGTAATTTTCCATCGCCGCGCCGGCCGGGCCGGCCCTCGTATCGTTCACGACCTCACGATCGAGAGTCGAGGCGACTCTTGTGTCATCCTTGAATGCTTGAATCTCGGCGCGACGAACGATTGCTCCTGAGCGTTGCTTCGGTTACTTACCCCATCAGTTTTCTCGAAGTTAATAATACCGCGTTAATAATGCTCGAGCTTTCGGCAAGATTCCAATTATTGCGTATTGTTTCGCGAGAAAACTGTCGTGTAATCCGCGACTTTTGGCCGACCACCAATGACAATGCTAAGAAAATAATGTCGCCTTAAACGTTTCAATCGTGCTAACAGCCCGAATCGAACGAGAGTCTAATTTAACGGATGGACAATAAAGTTGGTTATTTCATTTGTCGTGCGACAAATTGTTCAAGCATGTTGACTGATTGCGGGAGAAGTTCTCGAGTTTCTAGAAATTTTCTATTTTGCAGTCAATCGATATCCTTGAAAAAATTTGTCGTACAACATATAAAATATTAGCCTTATTTCTTCTGTGAGACTAGAAAACGATAATCGAGTAAATGACTCATTGTTTTTCGGCCGGCTTCATGAAAATTCGGCATGAGGGCGGCGGACAAAGCGCACCGTCACAATGACGTTATTCCTAAAAATATCGCGTTTAAGTACATACTATCGTGAATGAATACAAACTGGATGACTAAACGAATTTTCATCATTTCTGTATAGGATCTGATGTTGCTTCTACCAAAGTCCAATTCTAATTTAACAAATTTTATTCATGTCGCCTAATATATGTATAAAAAATGCAAGTTTGAAATTTATTTCAAAATATACGCGAGGTATATGTGGTATTCATAGTCGCTTCTTGATAAATAAAAATTTTATTTATATGTACGTGCACAAGAAATTCTTAGAAACGTTGACTACGTTTATATTTACACGTCATTAATTGGGTTAATAACATCAGTATATAGTTATAATTAATAAGTATAAAGCATAAACGCTCGTTAAATCCGGCTTTATAACACCAGTTATTACTCTACTCGTTAACGAAGATATATAGGCTTATAAATCCGGTTTTAAAGAAACGTAAACACTAAGTGAGTCATTTATGATTGCATCTCCAACTTGAGATAAAAAATTACGAGAAGTATATCTGCTGTATTTCTTTAACAAGATGAACATTTCAAGATTTCTTTGAATGAAAATAAAATAACTCTCTTCGTGTAAACGAGGATGCGTTTTCGGAAGTTATAATTACAGATGTTATTTAACCCGATTAATGGTGACGTGATACGTGATCAATAAATGGAAACGAGGAACCAAGAATTAAACGAAAATCAAAGTAGAGTAATTTCGAAAGCTTGATTTTGCAGTAAGTTTATTCTTCATAATTATGTTCTCAATTTTCTAATTCCCTGCGTTTAATTCGTACAGCATGATTCTTGAATTCATGAAATTTGCACGAGAAACGCACGCGCAAATTCTGCTCTTACCGAAAAGTTACAAGTTGATCGGCTGTCGCATAGCTTTTAGCCAATCAACTTAGATTTTTCATAAGGACCGAATTTGCGCTTTTATCTTGCAAATGAATTCAAGAATCGAGCCCTGTATTCGCGTAACAGAAGGAGACGACACGTCGTGAATTGGGAGCGAATATATACGCATTCTTTCCTTCCCACTCCGTTTTAGCGCCCACAAAGAAGCGCGATATTTCCAATTAAAAATTAAACGATTCGGCGAAAGCGATAGTGTCGAAAAACGGGGAAAAGGGTGCAGTTGAGATTCTCCCGCGCTCGACCGGCGTCGCTCGTCATTGGCTCGCGTACCTTCGGCTACGTTCGGCCACGCTCGGCTGGCGCCGCTCGCTATTGGCCCGCGCGACTCCGTCCGCACCAATCGTCGCGTCGCCGGCAGGCGCGCGGTAGGTTGCGGAACGCACGACGCGACACTGATGCTCCGTGCGCGGTGCGACGCGGCATTCGGCAAGCGGGACGCCATTACTGACGTTGGATTTCCTCGGTGCGCGCGGTGCCGCAGATAGTTTTCTCACGCAGCAACGAGACTCTTCGTCGTTCTAACCGCTCGTCGGTTCTATCGCATCCGGTGTGGTCGCGTGCGATCCGGTGACCCGCGAAATTCCGCGCGGATCCTCGACGGAATATCCGAATTTGCATTCCGATACGATATCGTGAGCAACGTTCGACGCAGGTACGTACTTTCACGGCGGCGGAAGATAGTCGCGCGACTCTCACGGTGTCCTTGGGCGGGAGGGACGATATATATATCGCGAACCACCGCGTCGAGTATCTCACGGGGATGCGCTTGTAGGAGCTAGGGACCGTGGGAACGCGTTCCGGACCCCCGCGCGCGTAAATTAGTCACTGGGTGATCGTGGGCAAGATGGTGGAAAGGGAAGCGTCGGGATCGAAGTCGAACGCGATCGCGTCACTCCGCGATTTCCTTTCGATCAGCCGCGGGAAGGGCGCCATCGTGCGAGACAGAGAGATCGTTGCGAGAATCACGAGCGTCGGAAAGCGCTGTTTTGAGAGATAACAAAAATAATAATGAGACTAGATCCTTTTCGATTTAACGTTTTCGGGTAACCTTGAAGAAATTCAATTCCAACGGCGATTGTTGCGATCACCGAATTGCTCTGGCGCGACGTATATTGAAATTGTAATTAGTCGTAATTAATTAAGATTGTTTAATTTCTGTGGGTATTTGCCACGGATAAATATGGAAATTGTAATCATAGCATCGAAATCCACGCTCGCCGGTATTACCCGGCTTCCATGTCTCGCTTTAGCGGCACAACGCTATGCGGCGCCGACATCTAAAGCCGCCGGCGATGAATAAATATGGCGGGGGACGAGCACGCTAAATGGATTGGCGTCGCGAGACACGTCAGATGGACAATGAAACTCTTGAATGAAACTATGTTTTTATATTTGCTTAGAATTATCGTTGCGATAAAAAATATCAACTTTATATAGAATCGTAATATAATCTGTTGGTTTTGAGATCATCTCACGAGATAAACGAATTTCAAACATTTAATTTTTTCATAAATAGGTAAAAGAGAAAATTTAAAGTGCAAGTGATTCTAAGCTCAATTGCAATGTAAATGTATATTTTTTATATTTATGATGTATTATGTATAATCTGCATGGAAAAAAAAAACTTTTAGAGTATTTCTGTTCTTACATGTACATCTTTGTGACGTTAGGTTCTTGTACGAGCCGCAAAATGCCGGGTTTTAGCAGCGTTGGCACGTTTAAAATCTTCATTGGTAATTTAGCCGACAAGACCTCGAACGCGGACATAAAGCCACTGTTCGAGAAGTATGGAAAAGTCGTGGAATGCGACGTGGTAAAGAATTATGGCTTCGTGGTAAGTTTATCAACCGAATCTAACGCCTCGATCAGTATAGCCAGACAGTGATATGATTATCAAGATCGATAACGATGGATCGACATTTTCTTTTTAATTCGTGTAGCATATGGAGAATGAGGAAGCAGGCCGAAACGCGATACAGAACCTGAATGGACACATGGTTCATGGACAGCCAATAAAATGCGAGGCTGCAAAGAGTCGTAAGGGACCCAACACTCCCACGACCAAGATCTTCGTGGGCAATCTTACAGATAACACCAAGGCGCCGCAGGTGCGCGAACTGTTCGCCAAGTACGGCACCGTCGTCGAGTGCGACATCGTGAGGAACTACGGCTTCGTTCATCTTGAAGCGACCGGCGACGTGAACGACGCCATCAAGGAGCTGAACGGGCAAATCGTGGACGGACAACCGATGAAGGTCCAGATCTCTACTAGTCGAGTGCGCCAGAGGCCAGGCATGGGCGATCCGGAACAATGCTATCGATGCGGACGAGGCGGTCACTGGTCCAAGGAGTGTCCCAAGGGAGGAATGGGAGGTGGACCAGATAGAAACGGATACAGGGACCGAATGTTTGGACGTGATCCATATCCTCCACCGCCGCCACCACCGTTCCTACGGGACCGGCTCATGGGTGGTGGCCGCTTTGGGGTAAGTTTATTCTTCTCGTCAACGTTTTTACACGCTATGTATTCGAATCATCCATGATATCGACGGTTTACGTGTTGACGGATAGCATGGTAAGGCAACTTTCTCTTGTATTAATTTCCCCGTTCGGGCTTTCTGTTAACAGGATTACGATAGCTACTACGACAGGCGCGGCTTCGAGGACACCAGGGACCTCTACGAGAGGCGGTTTACGGGTATGACAGGGCCCAGTGACATGGGATCTACCATGTGCGGGCTAGACTTTCCACCAATGACAATGCCACCTCTACCACCAAGACGAGACCCAATGCCTCCTATGCCTCCTCTAGGTATGGGATCCATGCGTGACACTGGCTTCTCCCGTGGAAACGAGTATGGCATGTTCAGCCGCCGATCGCCCCCTCCAAGTGGCAACAACGGCCGGTTCAGGTGAGTAGGTACCCGGCGTACCGACTGCCCATTCGTCCGACTTAACATTGTGAACGTTCCAGGCTGGATTAACAGCTCATGCGAATTGGGGTTTCGGTGATTCGTCGACATTTTTTCTAGTCTCTGTTGCACATTTTCTTTCTCTTACATAGATTTCAGCTTGTATCTCCTTATAGTAAATCTTTCCTAATTTTTTTTTCTTTTATTCCCACAAAATAGCTAATGTTAAGTTATGGATAAGCGAACGCGAAATTTACAAGTATTCACTTCACGTCTACTTCATTATAAACCTCTGTCCTTTTCGACGTTTTTCGTTAAATGTACTGCCACACACACACACACACTCTCTCTCTCTTTATCTCTTCTATCTTCTTTTCTATCGTCATATGTTAAACGGGACTTCTCTCTGACAATGTTATCGCGCGGCACAACGCATGATCGTTATCATCTATGCAAATATTACTTTCTCGTACTTGAGATTTTAAGACTTTTAATACTTTTACACACGTACCAGTGTCGACCCGATGCCCACATGAGTGCAGACTCCGTCGTAGTGAAATGTTAATTATATGACGCTTGGACGTTTCTGTACATTCTAAATTTCAGTGCACCTCAGGCGTACCATCTTTGTCCATGAACGCGGGCAACCCTAGAGAGACAGTCCCGGGTCAGCGTTCAAGTCGTACAAGAGTAAGTCTTTGACTCATTTTGTTAGCGAGTAGTCACGCCTCGTTCTTGTCGCTGCAACAGCAACCCGCGTCAGAAATACAATAAGCAGGCCGCCTACGTCGTCTGCGTCCCATGGTGTTCGAATCTTTTTCCGGGTCTCGACTGATTGTTCCTTGAACATGTCGACTGCTCTTCTAGGGATGTCCTAGTTCATAGACTCTCTTGTTCCATGGCATTAACTGCGAAATTGGCCTGTATGTCTCTCACTGAATCCTTTGTGTTTCAAGCGCTCCCTATTACGTACATCACTCAGCCGGGAGTGGCGCGGAGGCCTGGGATGAAGAAACGTACCTAAGGAATGCGAATTAGAATTTCTTGATCGCACTACCGCGAGCCAGGATACGCTCTGCAATTTTAAACGAAACTCTCGTACGATTGTAGATAGAGAAAAGAAAGAAAAACAAACAGGGCTGGCGCGATTTTGGAATGACGCATCGAATCGATTGTCTTTGAAACGTGTCGTAAGTAGAAACCAGCTCTCCAGATAATTTGGATCAGTAAGTTTATATCGGTACCTCCCGTCAATCTTTCCAAGTTTAGTTTCACAAACTTACGAACATAATCTTGTAACATCGATTCGATTGGAATTTGATTCAATTTCTCTGATGCGCAACCACTATCTTTTATTACCTAAAATCGTGTACTGTCTCTTTGATAGTCAAAGTACTGCCGTAACAAATTTAACAAAAATGTCATTTTAGTGAGATTAATAGTATTTTCAAATTAAGCAAATCTTTGAGTATATTTTTCTTTCTTTCTTTTTTTTTAGTATCGATAAAATGTTGTATATTTTTTCCTTGTGTGGCACATATTTCGCAGTTGTAATGTAAGGTAATTTCTTGTTTTAGATTACGCAACAATCGCTATTTTCTTGTTATTTTGTAATTTTACGCGTTGCATTAAATAACTACTTGAACAGATAAATTTTCAATTGAAATCATATCAGTAGATACATTGATTTAAATACGTTTAAAACTTTGTAGCAAACACAAAAATTATTAAATTATCTTGTGTTCGGTTGAATCGGAATTTCGCGCAGAGGAAGACAAAAATGTCGCGAAGAGATTTCGAGTTCGTCCGTGCTTTTCGAAACTGCAATCCATAGTTCTTGAAGTTGACTTCTACTCACGAGGTTCAAAGCTTTTCATGTATGTAAATCCATTCGCAAAACGTTCAAATAGAAAACAAAATTGATTGAATTTCTCAGTTTTTCTAAATACTTTGAATTTGTTGTTGCACGTTACCACCTCATTACCCCATATTATCCCAGCCTGGGCTGCAAATGGCTCTTTATTTTTTATGATAATACTCTTGTTGTTTTTTTTTTTTATTTGCGAGAAGCTGTGATATTGACAAGTCGCATGGGTTAAAAATCCAGTCTACCGCTGCCTGCCTCATATGACTAGCTACATCCTACATTCTCCTCACCGGCCCTCCACTTTACGAACGAGTTATACAGATAGCGAGTTAGCACAGATAGCTGTTTGCACTCCGCTGTCGTAGGTTTTTATAGTTGTTAATTATCCGTTGCGTTTCTGCGCTCGAGTCTGCAAACGATTACTAAACGTATGTACATCATCGAAGGTTTGTCGAGTCCACTTTTCGGCGAAAGATCAAAATTTTTCCTTCACACACATACGCCTGCGCACGTGCGAGCATGTATGTGTGTATGTCCGACATAATGGAGATTTAGGAAATTTTACAGCAAATTTGACAATTCAATGACCGGCATATTATATCCCCGTCTACTACAATTCTTGTCCCCCGAATTCTCGAGATAGCGTAATAGGCACAAAACATTCCGTCCCGATCCTAAGTCGACAGTCATATTAGGCGAGGCACGCGAATATTGCACGTGAATATATGTATATACAGGGACTAATTCACAAAGTTAAGCCTTGGACAAGGGAGCCAGTATATGGTATATGTTGATCTGATCTCATTGGTAGATTCGATTATTTATTATACCGCTGTTATAGTAGAGGCATGTACGAGGACTTCAGCCGAGATTCGTTTGAAGAGCGTAGGTAAGTAGAGTGAAGTGCCACTGGGTCATAAATACCACGTCCGAATCGAAATCCTTATGCCGCGAGATTTAGAAATAATACTAAACCGCCCTCTTCTTTGTGTCACGATCGTTCCGAGGCAACGCCTTTGTTTCTGTTTAAATTGTTTAAAAAGAAAAATCATCGCCTCGGTGATATTGTTTTTGCTCTATCATAGATATTTTCCAAAATGTACTGAGCACTGAAAATATATAGCATATAAAAAGTGAACTATAGATTTTCAGTATTATCAATGCATTTTGGAATGCTTTATTATTTTATTCTATGCGACAAATTGTGATTGATGACTAGCTGGAATTTACGTAGATCATTTTAAAAACGCATGATTGAAGAACACATTTTGGGAACGTCTCACTTTGTTCCATTGGAATGAGTCAACAATTGTAACATTTTTGAAATGCGATCTTTCATAAAGAAGAGTGCTCGAAGGATATGAACGTGTTTTAACGCGAATTACGCGAATTCCTCTTATCGTGAAACAAAAGAATCAGTAAAAAGGTTTAGCGAGAAAAACGAGGTATTCTCCGAGCTGTATGTTCCCCTTTTCTCTCTTTATTTTTTTTTTTAATCATCTTTCTCCTTCCCATCAATACTATTTACGATATTTCACTCTACGTACGTGCTCTGTTACTCTACATTTCTCTGTCTTCTGTTTTTCTCTCGTACCACGCAGATATATTGCAACCTTTTAACATTTACAATCTATATCTGTCCGTGTTTTGATCCGCATCACCGATCTCGTGACTGACGTGACATAATTTTGATTACCAGACCGGGATTACGAGGGCCATCGCCGTCGCGCCGGTTCGCACCATACTAAATCGTCGCGTCGGGCTCGGATCGGTCTCTGTCGGTCGTCGGTCCGTCGGGTCTCTGTCGCTAGCAGGAAGCCTCGGAACCGAGATACTCTTGGCCGTCTTGCGAACTGCACGCGTGAAGATCTGCCGCCCGCTCTATGAGAAACAAGTGCTCTACCCGCAGTGCGAATCTATTTAGACGGAAAAAAAAGATAATATACCTCCCGAAACACAGAGATAGAGCAAAGCAAATATAGCCCAGCCGAATAATAGCAGAGAACACGCAAAAATTATGGGAATAATTTCCCACTCGACGAATCCTTCGTATCTTCTCCCGAGACTCCCGGCTTATCGATCCTCTCGTACCTCTTGTTGTCCACTTTGAACACCTTTGCACCCCTCCCTTCGTCATACATTTGTATAAAGTCAGGTATCTTCGACGTGTCAAGAAGAGGATGCGGTCCCACTGTGAACACTTGTCGATCTTTGAAAAAGAAACGTTGTTTCTTCTCTTAAAGTCTCTTATTCTCTTGGACCCGTAGCTTAAATATAATTCTTGCAATTCATGGAAAATATGGGATCGACGATCGTCGCGGTGGGACCGTATCTCGCAGCGATCGAGTCGCTGATAGTTTTCGGGTTTTCTGTGACGCATCCATCCCTCCGCTGCGCAATTGCTAGACTTCGTGATCGCGCTCGTTACGCACCTTCCCACGGGAACCACCGGACGAGGTAACATTCTCTTAGTGTAGATATTGCGTGACATTACTGTAATTGACACACATTTGTCAGAACGCTCGCGATTCGGCTATTGTTGTCGATCGTCAACCCTTTTCACGCGACTGCGTCGTCGCGCGTTAGAGATAAATGAGATAAGCAGGTAGATCAGATTCGGAAAGCAGATGTTCGCTGATTATGTTCAAGTGCGTCAAACGGATGCGAGACCCACCGTCGGGAGTAGCGCGATGTTCCGTGAGCGGTACTCGCGGTTGGTCCATTAAGATATCGCTTTACTTATGCACGCGCGCTTGTACACGCTTAGCACGGTCTGCGCCTTCTCGATCGCATCGTCGCGAATACGCTAAAATCGTAAGGTTTTCAATTTGCGTCTCTACATCTCTATTCATTTTGTAAAATTTTATTACATATTTAAAATAATGTGCCGCATGTACAAGCACACGCGTATGAAATTCTTATCCGTGAAACGCGATCATATCGTTGCAGAAAAAAAGGTGATGAATTGTACCAGAGATGATGGTATACGTCGTGATTTTGATCGCGTTAGAAACTATCTCGTGGATTGGTCACTTCGCGCATCTCGATCAGTGCTCTTTTCTATTTTCTCTTTTGATTAATTCAGTAGATTCTCCAGCGATAACTATGACGCGGTTTCTTGAAAGAATGATACGACTTTTGAGATGTTGGTATTGAGAGCGGGTCTCATCTTCCGAGACGGTCGAATCTACGTCGCTCTAAGTAGCACTCTTCTTTTTCACGGATAATTTTACGTAAAGGTGTAAATTAGAGAGCTTGCGATTTTAGCGTATTCGCGAAGGTGCATCGAGAAGACTCCGCTTAATAAGAACAAAAAAAAAGAAAAGCGTTCGCCGAAGTCTCGACCCAATTAGGGAGGGTAGCGTGCGGGTCTGACCGTTTAAAAAACTGTTTTTACAAATGCTATTTCCTTCGCTGCAAAAAGGAAAAAAAAGGAGTTATAATTGGACTTAGACCCGGTAGGATGCGCCGATTCTGTATGGAAAACCAAGTGGCGGAACATTATTCTTAGCGTATAGCAACATAATCTTTTTATTAACGTAGGATTAACTTGGACGTAAAAAAAAAGACGTGCTATAGTCTGTAATAATCGCACTTCCGTTTTTTTTCGAGCGTAGAGACTTGCTGTAAGCTTTTTTTTCTCCATTTTTCCGTCTACGCTTTTTGTTTTTTTGCTGAGAAAACCGACCGTGTTTTTTTTCCTTAAAGATTATACAAATTATAACCACACGATATATTGCTAATAATAATGCTGAATATAAGAGAAATGTAATAACATGTATTTATGAAATTCACAAGAAAAAAAACGACGTGTACTGCGTGTTTCTTTAATTATATCACACCGACCGCTCTTTCTCTCGCGGCGTACCCCTTGCCAGCAACAACGACAACCATCCACAAAATCAACCCCCGACCCCTTCCCTTGTCGCACCACGAGAATCTTGATCGCGTACGATCGGACGCGCGCTTCCTTCGCTGGCTTCCTGCGCGTCGCGCGCGCGTTTCCGCATCGCACTGGCTCAATAAATAAAAAAAAAAAGAAAAGAATAAATGAAATACCCCGTCAGAATCTCGATCCAAAACGCGCGCGGCGTGTTCGCTCGTGTTAATTCTGTCTCTCTCTTTGCTGCCACCCTTGTGCCACCCCTTCACAAGTCTGATTGTCGACCCACAGGTAGAGCTCTGCGATGTTTTCTCTATCGAGCAACTCGAACTGCTTCTACCTTCTTGTATTTTTATTTAATTGCGATACAGTGCAAGCTTCTATAATCTAAATTAACGATAGCGATGTTTAGTTTAAATTGTGTATATAAACGGACCGTCGAATATTTTTTGTATAATGGTGTAGATTATAGATCAATATTAGAGTCATCAGTTTGTCATCAGTGACTTAGGTCAGTCACAATTAAGTTAAGTAAATTATTTGTTATACAACCTTAATTTTGTACATGTATGTAAATAATCATTTAGATTAGACATCCTGATAGACGTTGCACTATATCGTCAATGTAACACTGGAATTTAGTGTCTCTCCACGATATGTGGGAGGACACGATCACGTGTGCACAGTTCCGTCTCGATAATCACTTTTTTCCTCTCAGTTCTGTAATAATGCAAATTCCTCTCGAGCCTCACCTGTCTTTCATTGCCACAAACGTTTTATTCTCGATAGGGTGGGAAAAGTGAGGACAAGATGTGCGTATACAGTGTAATGCAACGTAACGTTTTCGCGCTCGTCGGGCACGCAATCGTGCGTTGATTGTGTCGCTGATCGTTCGCGGATTTCATGGTTCTCTCGTGGCGAACGTTCAGTGGGAAATTTTCAATTGATCACGCGATGCATGCCCGGCGAAAGGATTTCAGCACTCGCATACGTGTATAAATGTGTGAGATATTCCGGAATCATTAAGTATCCTGTCTGGCACAGAAATTCCGTGACAACATCGATTTTGACGCGGCGAAAATTTTATAAACGACTAATTATATTTTATGCCTTCTTGTATTTGAATGTCAATTTGAAAATCTGTCAAATCTGTTGTGTGGGGTAAACAAAATTTAAGATTGAAAAAGAATTGAACTTTTTGTTAAATAAATTGCTTAAAACATTTTTTAAACTCAAATTTTTGTATATTTTTGTAATTTTTGCCATGTTTAAAACAACATGTATGTTTTTGTGGTTTGAAAGGATTTATACTATGATTCTGTAACATCCTCTTTACTCCGCGTAATATCCTTCGTACGTTTCATTTTGTTGCTTTAAATCTACAAGATAAAGCTTCTGAATTCAGCAACGGTGTCGTTTTCTTTAGATCTTGATCATTTTAAAGCAAAGAAATCAATTTGAAAATAGTGGAAGAATCTTATAACTTCTCGTAAAGTTCGTTGAAAAATCTTTACACGATCTGTGTCATTTTTATTACTTCGCGAACCATAATCTCATTCGTATCGAATGTTAAGCGATCTAATCAAACTCTGATACGTTGCCGTCGATTCCCCTCTTCGTTTTCAAGACAATCATAACTTTAGGCGTGTCTCTTTACGTCCGACGTGTCTGCTTCTCTCTTTTTTTCTTTTCTGTAATTGCTTGTTCCAGTCTCAGTAGTCGAAAGCAAGGTTCGCGATGCGTTATAAGGCCTGTTTGTTTTAACTGAACTTCTTGCACAGTTCATCTTTTCTCTTTCTTTTCACGTTGGAAAGAAAAAGAGAAAGGATGAACTGTGCAAGAAGTTCAGCTAAAACGAACAGGCCTATAGTTTCACAAAAAGTTCAGATTTCGACGTTGTAGACGCGGGAAACGGCGATCGCATGATACATTTCCCTACCTACGGCATCGGAAGTTGAAATCTCGAGATTATAGCGATTTCGACCCCTGGTTCCTCTATCTCTGCACTGTCTTAAAGAATTAAGGACCGTCGAACATAAAGTGAAATCGTTCGTTGTATGACTGATGTTTTCAGACCAATTGGCACCGCGGGTGAGGTGGTCGCGCACGAGCTAGCATATAGCGCGAATAAGTCGCTTCATCACGCATACACGGACGTGGAATACTAATTCTCCCTCTATACGTATTAAAACAAGGGAACACCGGGAAATATCGAATTCCGATAAGCCTGCTACGCACCCTTCTCGCGTTAGCAACGTACGAGATGAGGTCCTATTTTGTACATTCTTTTTTTTGTACGTGATTCACTTACGTGTGTTTTTTGCAAGTTCTTATTTTTTAATAAACGTCAGAACACGTGCGAACGACGTCTCCTTGAATTGTGACTGAGAATTCACCCTTTCTGGCTGGCTCTCTCGAACTAGGCTGAGTTTGTCCGTCGAGAACGATTGTATCGTTTGTAGACTGAAACTCAAGCTGAGACGAAGATGAAAGTCTCCCAATTTTTAAATTTTATCTTTTATTTAAAAATGATATACATTACCTAAAATATAAATAATTTATTATATAACATATAAATATTTATAGATTTTTCGCATTTACAATTAATCTATCGGCGTGATTTTCAGAGATTGTCGACTTTCTTCTTTCTTCTCGGTTAATTGTTGTCCCTATTCCGTAAGCACAGAGGAAAGATCTGCCATCCTTTCGCCGCATTCACGTCTTTGTAGTGCGATTACCGTTCACCTGCATAAGACTTTCGGTCAAAGCCAAAGTTAAAGCTGCTTCCAGAGGTATCAAGCAAACACGGAAGTAATTGTAAATAGATGACTGAGTGAATATTCCTTTTTTTTTCTTGTGTATATTAACCCGATATTTTTGTCGGTATGTACATGGTAATACTTATTGTTATGTACCAGTCAAACTTGCAGACTCGGAGGTTGAGCAGGTCTACAGAATCGGACTTGGCTGGAGATCGCTTTTCCACCCGACCGACCAACCGGCAAGGCAGAGGCGACCGGCCACGTTCTGTAGCTTATACGCAGTCACCACTCCTCTTCCCCTCCCAAAGTTACTTTAAGAGACGTCGTTAAGGTCCTCGGAGATAACCGAGCGAGCCTCTCTCAGAGTGACTTTGGAACACGAACGTGTAGAACCAGGCACGCTACTCGATCATCTCTCCATACTGAGATGTGGTGAGCAAACTGCTGATCCGATAATACGTAGACTATTCCGAAAATCCGGGGAAAACAAAATGAGAAAAGATCGGCCGATCTGTATCCCTGTAAGGTTGACGCGTGAGAGGAGGTCGGACCTCCTCCCGTCGGCTCGGTCGCAAGAGTTGCGAGTTTGATCGGTGCATAGCGAGTACGTCGGACGCCGGTTAACTTTGGCTTCAACCGTACCGATGCACGGAACCGTTTCATCGAGTTCGGGCAATCCCTGGCGCATGATCGTCGAGAACGTACACAAGATGCCTCAGAACCAATGGACCATCCTGTAATTCAAAGTTCAGTCAGTCGAAAAGTTCAGTCCATTTGTTAAGACCTCAGAAAATTAATGTATTTTAGATTTGAGTATAAGTTTTCAAGTTTCTTAAAAAGGGTGGAGAGATTATTTAACATATTTAAGTTCAGAAGTATTAAAAATTTCAAATAATGCTCTCCTATAACTGGTTTTGAGACAGTCTTACCTCATATTCTAGCCCCTTCCTTCCTTTCTTTTTTTTTTCAATTTTTTTTGGCGTTATCCCTTCGCAACTGGCACCTGCTTAGGTGAACCCCCGACCCGCGATACGTAGGCTTGACATAGCTTGACGAGGCTCGTACGTTGATGCGGGTACGCGGGGAAAAAGGAATCTGCAATACACCGAGTCGCGCGCGCATGGCACACGCGTGCGGGAAAAAAAAGACTCGGGGAGCATGGAGCCGTCACGCACACCGGGGAGCTTCGTCGGATACGCGATGTATCGCTGTATTGCAAGTATACTCCCTCGAGGATTACGGTAATGTCGGTGCCGCCGGACTAGTCGTCGGATAGCGAAGGTCTGCCGATGGTCGGGAGTCTCGCTCTCGTAGCCCATACGTGGACGTGCGAGATTCCGGCTCGTCGTCGTCGTCATCGCCGCCGCCGCCGCCGCCGTCGTCGTCGTCGTCGCCGTCGTCAGCTTCGTCGCCGCCCTCGTCGCAGTCGCCGCTGTCGTCGTCGTCGCCGTCGCCGTCAACGTCTATAATAAAGTCACGCAGCCCGAGTTGCAAAACGGTTCGGGACACGCTGGCCGCCGAGAAGCTCAACGAGATGAGAAGTTCCGAGCCCAGTCTCTGTAGCTAGATCGCTGAGATTTCGGACACGCGCCGGCACAGACCCTCGCAGGCGCTTAGAGAGATTAAAAAAAAACATGTCCCTCTCGGCAGAGTTCTCACCTAGAGACACGTGGAGATCGTGAATCGCCGATCGGATTTTTGAAAGACACGGTCGGCGCAAGAACCCGAGAAAAATGTACACATGTAACGGAAAAAAAATAAATACGGACGCACGTCGTCGGGACACACGGGTTTACCCCCTTGATCTCGCGTGATAGAAAAACGATCACACACGTATCGGTCATCGTCGGTTGCCGCCGATTACCAAAAACGGAAAAAAAAACAAAGCGCAAAACCGAAATAGAAACGCGACAGCAGGGATTGTAACACGCTGTATTGTAATATGATATGTGATATAGGACGCGATGATAGCCCTCTACGCCGAGCATCGTCCACGAAGGATGTACCCTCGAAGGAGAGCGAGCGAGCCGGGAGCTCGAGCGACGAGAGAGGGCTTCTTCGGGTAGAAGCGACGCGAGTGGTCTGGCGGAGGAGCGACGTGGTGTAGCGAGAGGTAATTTTCCAACACAGCACTCTGTACCACGTCGAAAGAGAACGGGAGAGGTGATATACCGGATATATGCTTGAATAGAGACGTGGGGTCGCGTTACCGCGTCCAAGACGCGGGTCCAGTCGTCGGTATCGTTCCGACACGCGTAAGAAAACGAATAAAAGTAATTAAAAAAAAAAAAGGAAAACTGCGAACGATACGTTAATTCTCACCCCGCGTGTTCCACACCCGCCTTTGAGAGTCCTGTTTTCTTTCTTAGGAGAAGCGGCGCTTCTTAAGGGAGAGCTCCGTCTCTACGAGAGGAATCCTCTTCTTCTGTAGGGTGCGCCGGACAAAACTGTGAGATCGACATGTGCTCGCACACACCGAATCTCGCCCTAGAGCGGATTCTCGAGAGTCTCCCTCCGCTTGGCGGGAGCACGAAGGTATCGTAAGAACGAGTACTTTCCCCGCGCTGCGATTCCTGTAAAATCTCATGAAATATCGGATGCTTTTGATCTGAGATAGACTAATGAACGAATATCGTAAATTTGGCTCGGAGATTGAAATTGCTACGACTTTAATTCTCATTCACATGAGAGTAATTCTTATTCCTGCTGTTTATTTCTTATATCTGTTACATTGGAAGCTTAGTTCGTCAAGATTATAACGGTTCACTTTTGCAGATATTAAAACACTTGGTTTTTCGTTGCAATCATATTAAGTCATAACAGTCAGGAACGAGAAATAATATAAATTTTTTTCTTTTTAATTATGCGTCGAAATGAATTAATTATTTTAGCATGTTGCCATTTGTGCTCAATGATGCACATTGGTAAACTACATGGAAAAAATTCTCTTTTATTATCATGTCAATAAATTAATATATAATCGAATAAAATATAATATAATATATTACATTATAAATACAATGTAATCGAATTAATATATAATCTGTAGTCATATATTTTTAGCGACAGTAAAGTGTGATCAAAACCTCCGAAGATACATGTTTGTCGATCTACGAAACGAAAATGTTCAATATATTTTAAGCACTGTCAAATACGAAATATAAGAGAATTAAACTGTTTCAACTGATGCAAAGGTAAAAAAAATTCGTAATTTCTCGTTTTTGATGTTACGATTCAATATGTAGCAAGAGAGATCTTGATATTTTCGTGCGATTCCATTGCTAGTATTTAACTATTTAGATGTAAATGCGTAACGGTAAGTAGATTCCGCAGGTAAGATGTTTGAAGCTAGCTCGCTATTGTTCAATCCTAACGGATCGTCCCGAAGAGTCGAAGTCGCGCCGTAAATAAAACCTCGTGTGTAAAATATATGTTACAGGATATCGCCGTTCTCCGTTCGATGATACGAAAATTTTCCAGTCGTGACGAAAATATTCAACGTGTAATTGAGCAATAAAGACTCATCTTTCATCTCGAGAGCTCGTCAACTGATCTAGGATGTCAAAGTTGTTGCGTGCATCTTTCACATGCATATTAAAAGACGGATTTTCCTTTACACTAGTCTCGAGTGTTCGACGTTGAGAAACAAATCAAAGAAAATCTAATTAAAGCGATGTGTCACTGGAATAAATTATCTTGCGCGTTTCAATTCTGACTTGAATCTCTATTTCTTCAATTAGCTTGCGCTTTTCTTGAACCGCACCATCGAGTAAAACTTACAAAGAACTTATCACGCTATTAAACTATACATAATCTTTAGGTTTCGTCATATTGTTAGCTGCGTTTCACTCTTCCAAAGCGTAAATGTAAGATTGTAAGATAATACTCGCGTTTGAATATATAAACCGCAAAAGAATGCCGCTAAGATGCGATTATTTGAGTGCGTGGGAAGCGATTTACATTGCATTGAAATAATCCTCAATGGGAGTCTCGTTTAGTTATAAATTAGCATAGGCTGCTAAGTTACGGTCTCATTATGTAGTTCTTAGATAACATCCTGGCCCCTCTCTCTCCCTCCCGTTCGTGACGAGTCACCGCGGACCGCGATGACATTAGCGATAACGTCGTTCCACGACGGAGCGATTTTCTTGAAGCGGCTTCGGACAATCGATGCCATTCGATCTCTCGCGTTTCCACGCACGAGGAGCGGAAAACGTCGGTGGCGCGCCTCGTGATCGTAGCAGACCATCCTCGGCGTACGTTCCTTCGTGATCGCACGGGAAATCGAAATCGTCCATAAATGGCCGAGGACTTACGGTAAGTGAGACATTTCGTTGCTCGCGATCCCGCATCTTCTAATTTATTTTTTCTATCTCGCGATCTCGTCTGTTGTGCGAACTGGACGCGACTTTATCTTCTTCTCGGAGCTCGGAGGTTATGAGTCAGGATTCGTCAGTCGGCATCAAAAGGTTATGTACACGCCGCATGTGCTTTCCTGGCAATTGATAATGAAAGACAATTATCTACGAAAATGTGTTAATTCGTTTGCCCGTGCTACGTCTTTTTTCAATTTAAAAATCGCACAAGCGATCAACGTCGGATTCGCGATGAAATTTAATCGCATCGCGGAAGGAGAGATGGAGGTTATGTAATCATCAAGGTCGATACTCATCGACGCGATTTCGTCACCGAGCTCCGATACGCTCAGCGGCTCGGATACGTTCGCTTCAAAATGGCATCGCGAAATACGAAATTTGCCGCGTGTGTTTCTCAATATTTACTCTATCGCGGATGTTTTTTCTCATTGAACCCCTCTGACTCGAAGATAATGAATTATTTAGCATTTATTCTCACTGTATCCCTCGGAAAGCGTTTTGTTCATAAAAATTTGCTAGTATCTAGACTGAAAATGTTATGAACGTTTCAGGGAAGGGTTGCTGCTGGGAATTGGAAATCCTCTCCTGGACATTTCAGCAAACATAGACCATGAATTTTTACAAAAGTACGACATGAAGCCCAACAATGCCATTCTCGCCGAGGAAAAACACAAGCCTTTATACGAGGAGCTGATAGACCTGTACAACGCTAGCTTTATCGCGGGTGGATCTGTACAGAACACCATGAGAGTGGCACAGGTAAGTAAAATCCACACAGAACCGTTGCTTGGATATTGCCAAATTTATTTGAGTGAGAAAGAAGAGAAACGTCGGACTCGTACGACGATAAATAATCGGTGTTTTTGTTTCACACAGTGGTTCCTGCAAAAACCAAAAGTTGCCACCTACATGGGCTGCGTTGGTAGGGACAAGTATTCCAAGATCCTGGAGGACAAGGCAGTCGCAGACGGCTTGAACGTCCGCTACCAGTATACCGATCAGGAACCGACTGGAACGTGCGCGGTACTGATCACGGGGAAAGAACGCTCCCTGTGCGCCAATCTAGCAGCAGCGAATTGCTTCTCGCCGTCGCACATCGAAAAGCCCGAGAACAAGCATCTGATAGACATCGCGAAATACATCTATATATCGGTAAACGCAAAAAAATTTCCCATTGAATCTACTACTACGTTTACGTGAGCGTTACTTTTGTAGTAACTTACGATAATTCCTTCGCGTAAATGGGATTTTGTAGTAACTTATGATAATTTATTCCGCGTAAACGAGTGATATATCGTAAGTTACTACAGAAGTAACGCTCGCGTAAACGTAGTATACGGGAGGGAGCGAATCATAAAACGTCTAACAAAAATTCATTATTCCGTACTTTAGGGATTTTTCTTGACAGTCAGCCCCGAGTCCATACAAACGGTAGCCAAGCACGCTCACGAGAACGACAAGATATTCATGATGAATCTCAGCGCGCCGTTTCTGTGCGAGTTCTTCCAAAAACCGATGTTGGCGGCGTTCCCCTACGTGGACATCCTGTTCGGAAACGAGACGGAAGCGGAAGCGTTTGCAAAGGCCAACAATCTTAACGAGACGGACAAAAGGCAGATCGCGCTGAAGATATCGGAGATGGAGAAGATCAACGACAAGAGGAAAAGGATCGTCGTGATAACGCAAGGTGCCGAGGCAGTACTCTTAGCCAAAGACGGAACGGTAACCGAATATCCCGTCGTAAAAGTGCCGGAGGAGAAAATTGTGGACACTAATACCGCCGGAGATGCTTTTGTCGGAGGTGAGTACGTATCCCTCGCCGCTACAACGGCAACCAATTGCGGATTTACCGGTTTTTCTGATTGGAAAACTTGTTTCAGGCTTTCTCGCGCAACTTATCCAAGGCAAAAGCATAGACACGTGTATAAAGTGCGGCATTTGGGCGGCGGCGCAGATCGTACAAACATCTGGATGTACTTACGAGGGCAAGCCGAACTTCCAATCTTGATCGGCGCTAAGGCGCGGTAGCAGTTATAAATTGTGTACTTAATAAACATCTTAATGATTTTTTTTTACCTTCGTCTTTTGTATCTGAGCTTTACATTACAAGTGCAATTGCAGCCGGACGGTTACAAAGTTATTTACATTTATTAAAATTCAACAAACGTCTGTTTTATTAGCATTTAAGAAGATACTCGAGCAGCGCGTGCTGTATCAGGTCGACGGCGTGATTTCGAAGGAAAAGAAAGATACCAATTTGCTGGATTAACAAGACTTAAATCGTCTCGCGGGCCTGTTGCCCCGAGTGTGTCCGCTCGGAGACAAACTGCGCAGAATTTCTCCCTCGCGCGATACTTACATCGCGGCACGCTAATTTACATACCGTCGGGGAAAATCAATACAATCACCGAGGTATGTAGATATTGTACCGAGAATTTGCCGGTTAGCTTCGCATACGCGCGGCCGCGCTGGTCGGGCGATACCGTCCGGCCGGGAGCGTAGGGTATTCAATTATGCGAGACGCCGCACGCGTGCGTCGTGTGCGGGCGGGACGATATGCGGCCGAACTGCGGCGTTTGGCGGCGAGCGGGACGGAGAGGACGTATCGAGCGGCGAGGCGGAGAGAGACGGACGGACGGCGCGGCGGCGGCGGCGGAAAAGGGACACGATTCTTAAAAAAAAAAATCAATAATCTCATTACGAAATTGCATCGGACATACCGTGCGTTTTGCATATAAACAGCGCGAGTAACGCGCGTCACTCGCCGCCCCAACAGTGTCGTATTAAGCCCGGCACCTTCCTATGTATACATAGCACCTTTCGAACAGTTACGACGATCGTTCGATCGCGGGACAAGAGGGTCAATTTGCCTCTGCGAATAGTCGCGTTTCTTCGCTTCTTTTAACGAACAAGAAAGTATAGAGGTAGACTTTATTGTTAGATTGACGTAGAAGATCTGTCGCTTTTCCGTGACGGTCTGTTTTATATAAGACTATTGATTTCCTTTTAGTGTGATAAATATATCTCCACGCGTATTTTATATACAAAAAAGAGACCTTCCGAGACCGAAACCTATCACATGCGACGTGTAAATCGTTCATCTATTCATTCATTCATTTGAATTTTCATGAAATTCAGTCTTTGGATTGTCCCTTTTTCTGCATTTTAAAAGAGAGAGAAAGAGGAAAAGCGGCATTTATTGAGTTTTCTTTGTCAAAATGCCGACAAATAACGTCAGCTTGCTACCTGGGTTGGAACAGGGTCGCCTCAGGCGCCGAACAAAAATGCAAAAGCCTCGGAAACAAAAAAAAATTCCTAACGTAGTAGATCTGTTCTTTTTAGCTGGACTTTTTGCACCGTTCATCTTTCTTCTTTTTCTTCCCAAAGTGAAGAGAAAAAGAAAGAGGGAACCTATCAGCTTGAAACGGGAAAGCGACAGGAAAGAAGCGCAGGGAGGAAGAAAAAAAAGGGTTTGCTCCGGAGCGCGAGAAGAAAAAGGGGGAACGACTCGTTTTAGCGAATACGTCCCTGTCGCGGCAGTTCTCCTCGTATCGTTCTCTCAGCGGTCTCAGCCGCGTTGCGTGGCACTCGTCGAGGCCGTCGAGCGCACCGCACGCCTGTCGCCTCGGTCGAGAGAAACGGGCGGCCATAGTCGTCGTGGCGGAATCGACGCTGGACGAGACGAAACCCGCGTGTTCGCCGTTGCCGCGCGGCATCGCCGTTGAGCAGCGCGCGCGAATTGGTGCGCGCACACACACACGCAGACGATTCGTATTTCGCGCGCGTCGCACACATGCACGCGGAGTGCGCATACGTACGCGCGACACCTGTAAAACCGGTGACGTGTCTGTGTACAGTCGGGCGCGTTAACGGCGCATGTCAGCAGTCGGACGCTCGCTTCGCTCACAACCGGCCGGTCTTCCTCTTCCTCTCTGCGCGACGTTCGAGAAGTGTCTCTCAGTTCTCTCACGCTTTTTCGTTCGCACGTTCGTCCCCCGAGGAGAACCAAGGAAGATTCTCGCGCGTCGCGAAACGTCCCTGTGAGTGAATAATGTTATTAATGTTTTACAAAGAGAGAAACAGTGCAGGTTCTTTCTTTTCCCATCACTTGTTTTCTCGCTCCACGTGGGCGCTTTTGCGCAACTGTCGACGTCGCGACGTTCTTCTTTTGTGTACCGTTTGTAAGAATAACCATTAATCTTCTTTCCCACCTTCTCGTACCCCTTCTTTTCTCGTCGGATAGATATTGCGTCATAGTGTTTGCCAGTCTAGCACGTGGTTTTGACTCTAATTCGTTCGCGAGTGGAGTTGGAGTAGTTTGAGCTCGCGGGCTATTAACGCGCCCGATCGTACGAGATATACGCGCGGCCGGACATATGCACGCATTAATCTAACACAATCGTCCCGCTGCACGCATACGTGGAGTCGCGTTTTCACGTGCGCGCGCGCGCGCACCATACATCTTATCGTAAACTCGGGACTCGGGACGCCATGTGATCGGGCCGCGAGAGAGAGTGCGTGGTGTGTGCGAGAGACGCGTCGATGCACGTCGGTGTGTCGGACGGAGACGCCGCGCCGGGATTGGCCGACGGGGAACGTGTGCCGCTTTACGGCGCGGCGGCGGCGGCGTTCCCGTGTTTCGCGCTTCCGTCGTCGCTCGCCGGAGCGGAGCGCGCGGCGTGCGCAGTGCGCTCCCCACCGCGTGCGCGTAGTGTGTAACCCCCGCGCGACCGCCATCTTTGTTCAAGTGGGTAACCTTTGTTGATTTGTGTGAAATGTGACGCCGTTGTCGCGAGATAATTGGTGATCGTGATTACGTATCCAAGTGTTACGGTACACCCGGTGGACCCGCGCCCGCGTACGTGCTCTATGGATTTATCGATGGGATCGCTGCGTACAGGTACAGGTAAACGTCGCGCCCGCCTGGATCGCCGCCGTCCCGACGACGATCTTACGTCCGTGGAAAAACCACGCGCCGTCGTCGCCGTCGTTGTCGTCGTCGCCTCGCGATGCATACGGAGCCGGGTGCGGTGGCCGTCGGCGCGAGAAAGCGAGCGTGCGGTGGAAGAGAAGGAGGGAAAAACGAGTACGAGGTTTCCTGCGTCGTGTCGAGCGACGGACGAGCGTCGTCCGCGCGAGACATTCGACGTTTTTTCCGACGGGAAACCGCGAGCCGCGGGGAAACGAGAGGCGATCGCGAGGCAACGGCGGCGGAGAAGGCCCAGGAAGGACGCGCGCGATCGGCCGACGGGGACCGCGCGGAAACGCCTGGGCCTGGACAGCGGCGCGGCTCGCGGTGCTTCCGGAACGGAACCCGAGAAGCGGCCCGTGCGCGACTCTCCGGCCCCAAGATGGCTGCCCGTCGCACGAGCGCACCGACGTGCGCTCGTCCGTTCGCTCGCCCGCTCGCTCGCCTTCCCGTCCGCCCCGACGACGACGTCCGCGCGTCGGCCGACGGCGCGCGGAGCGTTCATCCGCGTCGACGTCTCGCGAGGACATCCCGTGACGTTTGCTCGCTCTCGCGCGCGCGTTTCTCGGCTCCCGTCGGGAGCGCCGTCGCGTCGCTCTCGAGCGCGCGACGCGTTCGATTCGCCGCGGATTTATGCTGCCACGGCGAGCCGTGGCAGAACGGTTCTCCCGTGCGAGAACGTTCGCTCAAAATGGCTACCCGTCGGACGGCCAAGTGCCGTTTAACGTTCGGCGGCGGTGGCGGTGGGCTCGCGGTGACCCGCGCGATTCCCACAGGCTCGTTCCATCGCGTTCCCGCGATTTTCCGTCGCGCGCGCCAATTTGCGTGTCGCCGCGACCGATCGATCGCTCGTCCGCCCGTCCGTCCATCTACTTCGCTCTCGTCCGTTTTTGTTCTTCCCGTCTCTCTCTCTCTCTCGCTTTAGCTACATCTCTCTTTTTCTGCCTTTTTCGCCTCTCGTCGTCTCGATCGCACTCCGCCGGGGCGAAACGCACGCTTCTCGCGCGTGCACGCTTCGTCGAGCGACGGGCGACGGCCGGCAGCAGTTAGGGTCGTTCGACGACAAACCGCTCCTCGCCTCGGTAGCGACGGCAGCTGGCTCGCTCTCTCCCTCTTTCTCTCTCTCTTTTTCTGTCTCTGTCTCCACTCTTCTCCGCGTCCTCACCTTCGGCCGCCGTCGCTCACTCGCTTGCTCGCTCACACACGCTCCACACGCTCGTTCGTTCGTTCGTTCGCTCATTCGTTTGTTTGTCGGGTGAGAGGGGCCCCGGTAAACACGCGCAGCCGGCGGCCTCTCCTCGCCCTCGGCCCCATCGTCTTAACCGGACGAACGTCGGACAAACAGACGGACGTGTTCGTTCAGCCGGTATTTCATTTCGCCTAATAAGATAGCTGCGCGCGGAGAAAGACGGCGGGAGAGGACAGAGGAGAGCGAAAAGCGCGTCCGCGGCCTCCTCTTCCTCCGTCGCTCTCCATATATATATATATCTCTCTCTCTCTCTCTCTCTCTCTCTCCGTTCTGTCCTACGCAGTGATCGATCCTTAACTCGTCCACAGAGGATCCTATACGTCCCAGGAAGGTTCGGTAACTTCCGTTCGAAGCGCGAAACAGGTTTGGACGCGTCCTTTACGTCGCGTTCCCGTGGATTATTTTCGCACGTTTCCCCGTCGAAATCGAAGACGCACAGGTTTCCCCGCGAGTTCAGTTTCGCGGGATCTCTCTCGCGGCATTTCGCGAGTCGCCTTGCTCCGAAAGTGTGTCATTATTTATCGTAGAAAATCTCTGTTTTCCCTCCTCCGTCGCTCGCTCGCGCGCGCTCAAAGAACCACGCTCGTCAATGGGACGTTAAAAGTCCGCCACATAGTAAAGATGCGAGTACTATGGGTATCTCTCATTGAAGCAGCACGATAAAAACGCGGCGATAAACGCGCGGCGCGTTCCATTGACGTTTCCGCGCGCAACGAGGATTGTTTCTCCGCGTTCTTCTCTTTTTTTTTTTGTTTTGTTTTGACCCGTGCACTCCGCGCGTTCGTCCGCGTTCGAAAGGTTTCCAATGTCTCGGCCGCGTTTCTCCTTTCCAGAGATTACGATTCGATCTCTTTGGAGACAATGTGGTACGTAACGATAGCTTCCGCGGGCGAGATTAGAGCGCGATCTTTGCTTTGCCGCGAATGTCGCGATCAGCATTAGTCAACGTCGCGAGAATCCAAGTTAACGACTCGCTATTTTATTTTTCCCGATAGCGGCTTTACATCTTAAAATAGACGAAACTGAGATAATGGGCGCTCTAGCGCTAATCTACGCCGGTGCAACGGGAGCCTTGGAGTGTGTCGCCGAATTGCGTCACGTCGCGTCACTCTTCCGGCGATAATAATATGAGCCGCGTAACCGTCCTCTTCTTTTTCTCTCGTTAAGTATTGCCCGCGATAGAATTTTCCGCGACAGCCCGAGTGTCCAGTTAATTTATTTTTTAATCTATATATGATTTATACAGGAGGTTCCCCGGAATACGCGAATAACGAGTTTCATTATTGATCGTCACACTCTATGTTTTTTGACGTGCTTGAGGAAAGCTCTCGATCTCACATTTAACGCTTTAATACTTTACAACTATGTTTCAAATGACTTTAATACGATCGAGGAAAATGTCGAATTTCCCACACGGAATATTTCATTCGCGTCTCGAGGCGATAGTTTCCAGAGCGTACTACGCGTCTCGAGGTGGTCGTCCCCCGGTTGTTCAAGGATATAGGAAAATTCCTGCGGTATGTGGTGCATCACGCGCGCCTCATTTCGTCGCTTCGAGAATGAAAGGAGTGGTTGCCGGAAGTCGAGTGAAGTTTTGGCGGGAAACAGCGGGGACCCGTCCTTGGGGACCGTAGACGTCACTTTCGAGAATAGACCGCGCACGTGGTGAGAAGTACCCCGGTGGCCGAGGGTTTAGAATGAAGCCGGTCTCACTGGATGTGCCGGTCTCATTCCGCAGTGTCTTTTTTTTTCTCTTTCTCTCTCTCTCTCGCCTTCCTCGGCGGGTGTCGACGCTTAAACCGCGGGTATATTTATTATCACTGGCCTAGGTCAACTCGTATCGCGGCCACATCGGAGGCGCACAGCTGTCGCGTTTGATTCTCGCATAATTAAACCTTTTCCGTGCTCGCCCGAATGCGGTATCGGCGACGTTTTCTGTCGAGACTTTCACGTCCATTGACATTTAGTCGATATCTGATCTATTCGGACATGTCCGTTTCGGGAATTTCCAGAGCGTCTAAATTATTATCGAGGCGCAAAAGTTACTGCCTCTATTTCCAATATTTTCGCATCTCGGATGATGTTAATTCGATTCGCGAATCAAATAAATATGAATCAATGTGTTATCTTTTATTTACAATTTTAATTTATAATTGTAGCTCCTCCCCACCTCTTCCACCTGTCTCTGAGCCATAATAGTCCTCTGTGAAATGTCAAATTTTTTGTTAACGACAAAAATATTTTAAATACGCTTAAATTATACACAAAAATACATTTGTATCGAAAAAAAATTCTTACTTACCTTTCACACAACACTGACGTAATCCCTCAACCATGCACTTTCGTATCCCACCGAGATTTTGATTGTTCGCTGTTTCAAGAGTAAATGAGCTAGGACTTTGAAATTTCTACCTGATGTTCTCTACTATAACAACTTTTTTTTTGGGAGGGGGGAATATCTGACGATCATTTGTTTTCCGGAACAAATCACTGTTAGAAACTCGTAGGACACGAAAGGGCATGGTTGGAGGAAATAGGGTTAAGACGCAGTTATTTGTGGTTTCTGAAATTTGTCAAGGATACGAATCGATTTGTCTTTTTATTTACGACTTTAGAAGAACTACTTTTACACACACACACATTGCACGGGGTAGTTGATCAGATTATATAAATTTATAAATTCGATTCACGAATTGAATAAATGTACCAATCGATTTGTTTTTTTGCTTTAAAAGAACTACTTTTACGCGGGACAGTTGGATTAGATTAGTATAAATTTAATTACGTCTAACGATGTAAGCAGGAGAGCACCTTCTCCATACGGCCAGAAAGAGATATAATTCCAGGTTGCGCGACTATTATCCAATTGCTAAGTGGGCAATGATCTTTTAACGCGATTTCCGTCAGCGATCGAAGCGTGCATACGCGATATGGATATTGCACGAAAACGGTGGGTGGTCTTTGTCTCTTCTCGAACAATGGATCTCTCTCGGCTCGACCTACGGCCGAACTCTCCTTACCCGAGAATTGCGCTTCGTGTATCCCGCACGTTTAAATAAACGCCGTATACACGTGCTCGATCGGGAACGTTTAGGCCACGCGGCCACCAAAGCCGGGCGCATTGGTTTCTCACGCTTAGGCCGCAACGCGACGGCAGAAACTCTCGAAGCTAACGAGAGTCAGTCGCGACCGTCCCTCTTTTTTTCTTTTTCTCTTTTTTTTTTGTCGAAAGTTTAGCGGTCAAATGACGATATAACGTTTCAAGAAAGAGTTGTGAGTAATATCTTCTTGGATGTGCAAAAGTTTGTTCTGAGAAAATATTTTTCGGATCACAGAGCTGCTTTGCTTTAAGATACTCACTTTGAAATGTTATAATACCCTCTTGATTTTCTGAAAGTTAATTTCAATCATGGAATTAGAGTAAAAATGAAAAACTAGACAAAATGATTGAGACAGGCATATTACTGGATATGTTTTTGCTCAATTTTTAGAAAAAGTTCTGAATTTCATAGAAAAAATTAAAATTACTACAAACGCTGTCGATAATAAATAAGAGCTTTACTTCTTACTTGTCGTTTTCTTTATTTTTTATTTGCTTATCATCTTTTTACCATCTTAGGTGTTTATTCTTTCATGCTTCTTTAGCTTGACCACTATTTTACTAATCTGACGTTAAATTAGAAATCATTTGAAACAAATGACGATCTCGCTCGGCATTTTTATTAAGGAGAGGTCCGCTTTAAGGCGGTCGAACGTGTGTGAAAAAGTGGCTTGCCAGGTCTGAGACACCTGGTACGCTACGTCTTCGAAGTTTCTTGACGGAACAGTTATGTGTTATGTCGGGGATCAATCGATATATCTACTCTATTCTTATTATATTTCGTTGTATCACGATCCCGCGGAGATCTCACCGCGGTCGTGTGCGTCTCGGCGTATACGCGCGACCGATTTTAATAAGGCTGTGAGCTGTTCGCGCGTTGCGCAATACCCGCTGTCAGGCACGGTGATTTTAAATATTTGCTCCGTACCGCGCTGTGTGTGCGCGCGCTGCCGCGGCACTCACGCACTCACGCACGCACGCACGCTTCGCGCGCGCAGGAGAAAGTTCATCGCTCAGGGGGGAAACCGGACAAGTCGTTTACGACCGGAGTCGAAAATCGCGTGACCCGATCGTAAGAATCGAACGCGCGGTGTTGTATAACGCGTTAGAGCGGGCGAACAAAGACGCGCGGAATAAATCTGGATACACCTAATAGGATTCTGAAAGCCGGTGTAATTCCGGCGAGTTCCGATGTCGCGGGCACGCGAGGAATCTTCGTGCGCTCTGTCCTGATAATGGAACGCGAGGAACGCGAGTCGAATTGAACGAGCGTGTAAAATTCATTTTAATATGTCGACTGATATCGACATTTTTTAAAACGTTTGCAAAAAGCATATATCATTTTAAGCAACGCGTATAGCTTGATAACAATGTAAAATGAAAAAAATTAAAAGTGTGCTATTTAATACAGTACCCATGAGGCTAGTCTTGTTTAATCATATTACGCAATATTTTGTCATTATATGCTTATGATAATAAAAAATCTACTGTAGCGATTAAACATACAAAACTCACTGAACAGACACATATTAAGGCGCAGAACTGTGATTAAAATAACAAACTTTCGTTAATAATGAAATTAATTTATTATTATTATACATGATGTAGGATAGTGTTTCAATTAATCAATTAATCAATCAACATTGGTTCCATAGTTCTAGGTAAATCTTGGCTTCTTCTAAAGATGAATTTTTATGAACATTCGCAATATTTGTTTAACGTGAGATGTGGGTATCAGTCACATGCACAATCCTCAACTAACTTAATGGTGCCAGGGAGCCGCTTTACGCGGATTTAAAATCCGTATATATGGGATGAGGGATCGAACCCGTTAATTAAAAGTCCACCGCTCCCACGTGACATCCCCCTTAAGCTAGTGTTTGCTCGTATTTATGGTGTATCGAAAAGGAAATTTACTCTAGAATTACACCGCACATACAGCGTAATTACAATCCTGCGTATTTATCTCTCTGGATAAGTATATCGATAAACGGTGGCGAATAATTCGATCGATTTCTTGCACGAGATACATTGCCAGTTGCCGGACAGCTTTCGAGTTAGGGAATGTCGGATATTCCACGCGATGCGGCATATCGGAAGGATCGTTTAGCGCCGGCGGGGCCGAAACTCGGCAGACTCCCACGCACGACTTTTGCAACCCCGTTCAATCCGTGCTCTCGTTTCAGGGTCAGCGCAATAGCCCGCGGAGAGAACGTGAGAGGAGGCGGTGAGGGCTTAGGATCCAAGCCGGGAAAACTGAAGAGAGAGTCATAGCAGAATGTAAACGTCCGTCGTTGACCGTGACGTCGCCTATCGGCAGGAGGTGGAGGAGGAAGGGGACAAGGAAGCACTGGCCGTGACTTCGCCGCCGTCGTCGTCGTCGTCGTCGCCGTCCGCGCCGTCCGCGCCGCCGACGGAGACGCGATGGACGAACCCGAGGCGCCCGAGACGTGGTCGGCCTGGTTTTTAGATGCGATCCGGAAGATCCGTAGCCAAAAGCAACGACCGAGCGTCGAACGGATATGTCACGCGATACGCCAGCATCACAATTTCCACGAGGAGGAGATTTCCGAACACCTGGAGGTCGCCGTGAAGCGCGGCGATGTGCTCAAGATCTTCAACAAGGGCCAGTCTTCGTACAAGGATCCAGGCATTCTTCAATCCAAGAAGCTCAAGGTCTCCAAATCGACCGACATCAGCAAGGTCTTGGGCAAGGCTGTGCGCGAACTTGGCGAGCGCGAGGGTTCGAATCTGAGGAGCATCGAGAGGTACATTAGGCAGAGTCACCGTGTCGAGGAGGATACCGAGGGTGATCTTAGGATCGCCCTCAAGCTCTCTGCCAAGCGAGCGGTCGAGCGGGGCCTGGTGCTCCAGGACGGCAAACTCTTCCGGCAAACGGACAGGCCGCCGTTTTTCAAGAAGTTCAGCGATGCCGCTCATACGCCGCCCAGGGAACCGCCCGCGCCCAAGGTGAGTCATTTTGACCAGCGTGTAACGTCGTGCGTCGATGATGAGTCATTCTCTGGGAAGTGCGTCTTGTAATCCGTCGAAATTACCGACGAAGATGTCGACTTGATTGCAGCTTTATACTCCCATATATTTTACTTCTCTGATGATATGGTCCGTTAAAGGATAGAGAGAAACCTAATTTTATTAACACTGCGCAGAAGAAAAGAAGTTTTAAATCGAAACTTATATGTATATTCAAATTAACGTACGCAACAATCTATAATCTTCTTATAAGAATTTCTACTTTTTTCTTGGTTGAACTATAAATGACTTAATTCAAGCAAGTTTTATTCGTTTAACGTAATATAATCTCATTTCAAAGAGTTAATTTAATTCTACTTGACATTAGCGATACCAGAAGGAAGCAATGATTTTCATTTCATTAATTTAAGCTTCTAGCGTTGTATCGTGGTTTTATCTTCGCTATCATTTCTTGGAGCAACAGTTGCGCATTTTTTACGACTTTAAACTCTTACTTAAGTAAATTCGCGTACTTGAGTAAATTTAGCTTTCTCGATATCGCGTTGCAATCGCCCCGAATGGCATTATCGCTATGAAATGATCAGAATGAAACAGTAATTCGTCATCGAATAAATCGCTGCGGATTCAGACGCGTGTGTTCACCATTGAATTCTCTGGCGGTTCCGCGTTGAGGATTCGCGTTTCGCGCTCCAGTAGAAGTTTCTTAAATCTCTGATGTCTATTTCTTTTTATTTTTTTCTAGTTTTAAGAATTAGAAAAAGATAAAAGGTAAGTTAAACCGAGATTAAAGTTAATTTACCGTGGTAGAAATAGACATAAGTCTAATACGCTTCGCAGACCAGTCAGACCAGATTGTTTTCGCGAAAACGCAAAATTCCTCTCAAACAATCGGAGCAAACCGCTTAGACCGTTGAAGTTGTGAGACGCGTATAGGGACGGCATCGGCGTACCCGTCGAATCTAATCGCGGATCTCTTCCCACCGAGTCGCTCGCGTTACGCGCCGCTCGGTTCGCGCGCGCAAACCGGAGGAACGCTCGAAGCCGGAAAAGTATTGCGCCGGGTCACGCCGTAGTGCCCACGTTCCGGCGATGTTGGGAATGTCGGTTGGCGACCGCTGGAGTGGGACGACGACGACGACGGTGGGGCCGAGGGCGGGGGGACGGAGGGCGGCTGGAGAACGGACGGGAAGGCGAGGGAGGGACGAAAGGTCGAGATCGCGCGCCGCGCCGGGACGATGGGCTATCTCGGGCGACTTCCGGCGGGTTCGTTTTGTATAACTTCTCTCTTATTGATCCTCCGTCCGCGGAATCGCGCTCCCTTTCTTTCTCCCACCGCGTTTTGAGCGCGAAAAATCGCGGCGCGCCGACGCGGGTCCTCGCCGATACCGTCCCCGTCGCGCATCAGGTGGGTTACCCTCCCGCGCTCACGCGAGCGCGCAGGGGGGCCGATGACGGGCGCCGTACGTCGCTCGGCGTCCATTTCCCGCGCTTTTTTTTCCTTTCTTTTCCCCGGCTGCCTCGTCGTTACGCCGCAAATCGCCGGCCGCGGGAGCGATCGATCGCCAACCGCGCGCTGTTTTGCGAGAACGACCATTTTGAAAATTACACAACGGGCGAGACCAGCCGCCCCGCGGTCGATCGCGACGCTCGTCGGCGACGTCACCCCCTTGTTGGTCCGCGCGGGGACGCATAAGCCCGAGTCGTCCGAGTCCGAGCTGATTGCCTTCCACAGAGAGTCGTTGATCCTCGAGAGCGATCCAGCGAGATGGAATTTCATTTGCCTAGACTCCGCTAGAATGCAAATTGCCCGTATTAGTCACTGAGGAAATATTTTGAAATGTTTTTCTGTCGAGGAGCAACCCTCTTGAAAGACCGAGAGATTCGAGCCGAATTTTAATTAATTTTTGCACATGTCACAAACGACGATTGACGGACTACCTAGACAGCACCATGTTTAAAATCGGACACAGACATCTTTAAGACATCTTTAAGACGTCTTTAAGACGTCTTATGATACAATGTCTAAAGGACGTCTTAATGACGTCTTTGGCCCCGATTTTCGACATGGTACTGTGTTTGGGAATCATTTCAAAATTATTTTTTAATCCGCAACACTTATCGATAAACATTCAGTAAGTCACACGAGAGTCTCAATGCCCCGACAGTACGCATGTCCAAAATCGGGACATAAGACGTCTTAACAACATCATTGAAACGTTTTATGTTCCAATTTTGGATATGCGTGCTGTCTGGGTATCGAAACTCTAGTGTGACTTATTGAATGTCTATCTGATAAGTTGCGGATTAAAAAAAAATTTTTGGAACGATTCCCAGAGAGGACCATGTCCAAAGACGTCTTTTAGACATCATGTTATAAGACGTCTTAAAGATGTCTTATGTCCCGATTTTTTATATGCGTGCTGTCTGAGTTTTTAAAACAGTTCGAGATCTTATTGGAGGTATGCGAGCGGCGCGATTTCGGATACCGTCATCAGTCCTTGTTTCGCGATTAATTCTAAACTAATTTGGGCGGCCAGCGTGTCGATGTTTGTAACGCCCTACAGCAGCACGATACCGCCCTGGGTTGCGATAACCCGGAGCGTGTTTTGCGCGACTTCGACAGGGAATGAAATTAACGGGGGTGACGTTCGCGCGTGAAGCATTTGCGGATGCACGCGTAAAAGCGCCGATACAGCGAGTCGTCCAATCGCGCAACAGGTCGCAGCGGTCTGGTGCGAGAAACGGAGGCTGCTCGCACCGCGTACACTTTTTCTCTAATTCACCGTTCTTCTGGACTGAAGGAAACAACAACCCCGTGCGTGTATTTGCATTAGATCGCTGCTTCTTTTTACATGATGTTTGACCGATTTAACGTTTTAAAAAATGCGCAAAAATTATCGAAAAGAGCCGATTTGTAGAGAAATGGAAAGCTTTTTTTTTGCCCTTTGCGAAGAATCGAACAGGGCTTGCTTATATAGCTGTTCAATATTTCTTGAAACTTTCGGAGTATAGGAAACATTTTAATATAGTGTTATTCATTTATATTTTATATATAAATAATTAAGTCATTAAATATAATTAAATATAATTTTAATGTTTAATTTATATATATAAATTAAAATTATGAATAATTTTAATTAATTATAAGCTTAAAAATACTCCTGAATGTAGGTTTGCGGAGGATTAAAACACGAGAATGTTGCACAATGCTAGCAGTTTATAACGCCTTTCCGCGAATACAGAGAATATTTGTGAAAGAGCATTTCTCTTCGAAATTATCGCTACCGCCGCTGCACCGTTGGCGCAACGCGCTCTTAATAAGATGCACCCCTCCGACGCATACGAGTACCGCCGTGTCTAGCCAGTATTTCTGCGTTACCGCTACCGAAATGAATAATTATGTGTTCCACACCGGGACTCACTCGTCTTTTGTATATGTGATACGTAATGATAGATGGTATCGAACCGGCCGATATGTGGTGGCTGATATACAGCTGACGCGTGAAGGCATGGTATCGGAAGTTTCTGTTTAAATTATTTTGCGTTTTATAGGATTTTCCTCTTCCAGATGAGGGAAACTTTCAACAAAATGTTTGATGTTATCTCACGAGCATGTATACTTAACCCAGGATATACACACTTATTTTTCGTATAAGCAGATACCCCACTGGAGTTGGAAGGACCCTACTAGTTTTTTTTCAATATAACTCGAGAAAAACACCGTATTTTAACTTCCTTTTTTTCCAATTGTAAATAAACTGAAAAATACGTACAATTATTCAGAATTAATCTAAAATTATAGTAAGTATCAATAAACACGTCGAAAAATTGTATCATTCTCCAATGGTAGAGATTTCTACTTTACGTGGGGTCTCGAAGATTCCAGTACGTATACTAGGGATAAAGCTGAAAATATAAATCCTATAAATTCTATTAATGTATACTTACGCAATATTACAATTACTTACTTAAATACTTTTATTTGGATATTTTTACTCCATTGATTTATCGACTTCTATCCGTTTCCCGCAGTTGCCGGCTCCATTGCCAATATGCAAAGAGTGCCTCGGTGCCACGATGGCCGGCAACAACAACAACAACAGCAAGCGGAACGCCAACGAGAAGCTAAGCAGGTGCAGCGTCTGCGGTGCGGCCCTGCACAATTCCTGCGCGCCACCGGAGCTCTCGGTACTTGTCGATCGAGGAATAACCTGGTCCTGCGATGACTGTTCGCCAACCTGCGCCGGCTGCCAGCTGGAGCGAGAGTCGCAGAATTATCTTGTCAAGTGCGCCGGCTGCGTGAAGTGTTTCCATCCCGCCTGCCTCGATCCCGCCCTCGACAAGAAGAACAAGACGCCCTGGAAGTGTCGACACTGCCAAACGGCGCACACGCCGGTGAGCAAGGACGACGGTAAGCGGGGCAAGGCGCAGGATGCAAATTCGACCGATGACACGCCGACGAGCGCGAGGAAGAGGTTCAGCAAGTTACGTGAGAATCGAAAGTAAGTGTTGTTTGCATATTCGATTAACAAAATCTCTCTTTCACTCGTCTCCGTTTTATGATAATAATTTCGACTTTAAAATAAAAATTGAGATAAAAAAATATGCAATAAAACGATTATATGTCAGGACTAATGTACACGTTGTTGGTGATTTTTTTTTGCAGATCGATGGTATCCAGAAAAAGCTTGGCGAACGCGAATCCGGGCAAGAAGGGCAGCGCGGGAGTGGCTCAGGTGGACAGCAGCACGGACGGTAATGCGGGTGTTGTCTCCCCTCGTCAACCACCTTTGATTTCCTCTCCTTTACCACAACCCCCCACCCCACTCGCAGGCCAGGGTAGGCTGCTCGAGGAAAAGAACGACAGGATCTCCAAGGAGAAGCAAAAGTTCTTTAGATTGAGCGCGTTTAACGCTGAGCACAGTAAACTAAAGCGGGTGGGGGGCGGTGATAAATCTAGGCCCTTGCGGAACGTTAACGTTAGGTCGACCCGGGGCGGTACCGCGAACCCGAAAAAGGTCGGAACGCCGCGTGTATCTAGCAGCAGTAGCAGCAGCAGCGAGGCTGGTAATAGCAGCGAGAGCTCGGAAGGCAGCGATAGTAGTGATGAGGATGACGATGAGGACGACGAAGACGACGAGGAGGGCAATAGCTCGAGCGAGAGCAGCGATTCCTCCTCGTCGGACGAAGTCCAGGATGGGAGAATCGAGTCTCCTAAGGCGAAGGCGCCATTCGCTTGTGACCTCAACGAGGACAAGCCGTGGGGTTTTGCCGCCGCCGCCGCCAAACTGAACGTAAAGTCGCCTTTCTTCAGCAATACCAATACTTTTGGCGCGCCATTACCCAAACTCAACGTGGGCGATACGCCGACATTTGGCTTACATATACAACAGCCAGCTACTGTTAATCCGTCAGATAACAAAAAGAAAGATAAGTCCGAGCGCAATACCGCACAGGTTCCGAGCGCGGATAAGGATAACAAGGTCAAGCCTGGAAGCGGCCAATTGAGAGGTCTATTCGACGGCTTGAGTCACTTTTTTTCAGCACCCGCGAATAGCAGGGCGAGATCGGCCGGTATACCGGCGCCGAATTACGCGCCAGACCGGAGGAAAAGGCCTAACACGGAGGATACTGTTAAGACGAATAAAATTCCGAGAGGCAGAGAGGCACAGAGAAACAAACCGGACGACTCATCTGGCACGAATAAACTCAAAGATCGTAAAAAGACTGAAGCTACCACTGAGATATCGAGATTACCGAAACCCGGTATTTTTGTACCTTCCGACGAGAATGTATTAAGTTCGATTAACGAGAAATTACCGAGGATGACGCCCTCGGGTCTGGTAAAAACTGCGGTGAACAGTAAAAGACACGAGCATGAGAGGAGAAAACTGATGCATGACAACACGTCGCTCGTGAAGTGTGCCGCGGATCCAGCCTCACCATCGAGACACGAGCAGCAGCAGCAGCAGCAACAATCACGAAAGAAGCAAACAGCTTCGGATATGAGTACGCAGATACGCCACCCTGCATCCGCCGTTGCGAAATCCTCAGGCCTCGGTTCCGATCCTGTCAAATCAAGTCCTAATCCAAAGTCCAATCCACGAGCCTGTACTAGCGCCACCACCACCAACACCACCACGACACCCCGCGCGACACCCTGCTCCACCAGGAAGGGTAAGAGTCTACCCCACCCGTTCACAAGTTCCTAACCTCGATGATGCACCCTAAAAAAAAGTCGCAATGAAGACTTCCTTCTAATCTAATCCTCGCTCACGACCACGTGGATGTGTTGGCGGTGTGGTGTGGTATGATGTGTGGTACACGTGCGTCTGATGTCCGATAATTTTTTTCAAGATGACGTGATTGTTCCGATGATATTGTGGAAAAGTTACAAAAATTGTCTAGCTTGGAGACATCCAACTGGAAAAATGTTTTGTATATAAAAAAATAATTACAATTTGTGGTATGGCTGATTTTAAGAAGAGATTGCGAACAATCAGGTTTCTTGATAGGACGTTTATCTGCTACATGGTGTAAAACCAGTGATGACTTGTAGATATGTTTATTGCGGAAGAGATACGGAGATATAATAATTGGAAGATACATACATCTCTAGAACAATTTAAAGAATTTATTTTCATTTGTTTTACACTGTGGACACTATTGCATGTTGTTAATCATATTATTACTTGGCTCTGGCATTTTTTTTCCTTTGTCCATGCATAATATTTGGAGATGGCTGTCAAAATCAAGAAATACTAAAACAATTTTGAAGAATACGTCCTTATGTAGAGGTCTTCATCCTGTATTTGTTACTTTAGATTTAGTTATCTCTCATTTTTCAGGATACTTGTACAGGATACACCATAGTCGCATCTGCCAATCATATCATGTACATATAACATTCGCACAACTTTTATAGAGAAACTTTGGTCTCTCATTGTACATTTGGACTATTCTTTATTTTGACCAATTGACCGATTTATATTATGGCTTACATGGTTTTCGTACATTAATCGCGCAAAACGAGTTCTCTGATTGAATTTTGACAAGTCAACTTACATATTACAAAGTTCTATTTTCCAAAAAAGAAAAAGATACATACGAGTGATCAATTTTGGTTGTACATTTCATGCAAAATGGAATTCATTTTGCATACTGTGCGACGCTTAATCGAACACTTCGGATTGATTCATTCTCTGTTCTTCCTCTCCTTGTACAAAAAGACCGAAATACAATTTCCAGGCACTGAAGAAACACGGCACTGGGTGGCACTTATCTCACTCAGCCGCCTCCTTATACCATTCACATCGGAGCCTACCTGCTGCTGCTGACACTTAGCAGGCACTGTTAACACCGCCCCCTTACCCCTTCACGAAAAAAAGAGAAAAAGAACAAAAAAAGTTCCTGCCGACGAAGAGCCAACTTTGATACTCTGCCAACACATCCCACTAATCTAACCCACAGCTTTGCTTTGGAAACTACTCACATTATTAACGGCAACTGTATTATTATTCGCATTCTTTTGTCATATTACGTTAGATTGCTATTGTCACCATGCTAATGCCGTTCGATTAATTTTGCTTAATTTTTATCTGTTGACCAACTGATTTCTCCAACAGGACGTGACTAATACCCCGTTATTTTGACACCTAGTTTACCCAAATCATTAGTATTCGAATTATGTATAATAAACCTTAGTAAAATCGCTTTTTGTACAAACATTTAGAGAACATTGTCATAGTAACTTTAATTTTTATCTTGTAACGTGCGGCATTAATGCGCACTTCAACCTTACTTAGGAAAGTAAGTTAGGAAAGTATTTTAAAATTTATAATTTTTAAACTATATGCACAAATATATGACATATTTAACGTTTAATTATCATGTCAAATTGTTCATGACATTTCTTACTTACGACTTTGTTCGTCAGATTTCTTTTACATGGAACACATAGTTTTTCTTATGTTTTCTCATACAACCAACTGTTGCAGTAGGTAGCAGTATCTCGTACATACGTAAAGCAATTGCATTAATGACTTAAACATTGACTAATTATAAAACTGATTGATAACAACAGAGAAAAAAATAGAAAACAAATTGTTGAATGATAATATTGAAATATATAGTCGGTGAAGGAATTCGGTTAACACTCGTAATCATTTTTCTTGTTTTTACAGATGAACTAATCGTGCCGCAGACCTTACCGCCAGGAGTCACGCAGAAGGATGTGGATCTCATCCAGGAAGCTCGTGAGAGAGCTCGGCTGACGGTTAGCAACGACAAGAATGAACAATCGTCCGACAATGCGCGGAACCCCGCTGCGATAGTATTCGGTCGATACGAGGTGGAGACATGGTATTCTAGCCCGTTCCCTCAGGAATACGCACGATTACCGAAATTGTTCTTCTGCGAGTTTTGTCTCAAGTATACGAAAAGCCGGGCAGTATTGGACAGGCATATGGACAAGTGTCAGTGGAGACATCCACCTGCCACCGAGATCTATAGGTGCGATGGATTGTCCGTGTTTGAGGTACGTATCATAATAGGTATTATCGCTTCTTCTGTTTGATTAGAAAGAAACTAATGGGAACGTTTTGATATTTCAGATCGATGGTAACGTAAACAAAATATACTGTCAAAATCTGTGTTTACTGGCAAAGTTATTTTTGGATCACAAGACTCTCTATTACGATGTAGAGCCGTTTCTTTTTTATGCTATGACCAAAAACGACAAATACGGCTGTCATTTGGTCGGTTACTTCAGCAAGGAGAAACACTGTCCGGCTCAGAGGTACAACGTGTCCTGCATTATGACCCTCCCGCAATATCAACGACAAGGTTTTGGCAGGTTTCTCATAGAATTCAGTTACCTGTTATCCAAGGTCGAAGGCATCCCGGGAACGCCAGAAAAACCGCTTTCAGATCTCGGTCGAGTGTCGTATCATTCCTTTTGGAAGAGCGTAGTGCTCGAGTACCTGGACGCGCATCGAAGCGATACTAATGTCAAGCTGAGCGACATCACGAAGGAGACTGGCGTGTCGGCGCACGATATTGCAACAGCAATGCAATTGCTCGGATTTATAAGGTCGGCTCATCTGCCGGGAGATGCGAACACTAATAAAGTGGCTGTGGTAGTTGATTGGAGCAAGGTAGATGCTCACATGGCGAAAGTACGAAAGAGTTTCCGCATCAAGTTGGATCCCGATTGTCTCAGATGGATACCGTTGCTCACGCAAATCCCTAATCCGTATCAGAATCCAGAGGAGAGCGGTGACGCTAGTTCGGAAATGTCTCCTACGATGGAGCCTAAGCCCGTGCCAGCCGTTGTCGAGAAAATACAAAGAGTGAAGATAAAGAAGAAGCCACGCGGTAGGAGAGTAAGTCAAAGGAAATCGACGCCTTTGAAACCGACGTCTTTGAAATCGACACCATTGAAACCGAAGACTTCGCAAAAGACTGCAGCGTCTCACAAGGACGCGTCCAAAGAAGAGAAGGATGTTAAAGATACGAAGGAAATTAAAGCGGCGAAAGAGTTGAGAGAATCGAAAGAATCCGTAAGAGAAAGTCGTAGTTCCGAGAGGACAGAGAATCGGAAAGATTCTCGTGCGGAAACAGAAGCTAAGATTGTAACGTCTACACCGAGAAATGCGCGTGCCCTAAACTCGGCAAAGAACGTAACTCCGACGAATACGCCGAAGTCAGTGCAAATGACGATGTCGCGGAGAAGGATCAGACCACCTAAAACGCTTGTGTCCGAATCAGTCATCACGCCTTTGCGAAAACGAAAACATTCCGAGAAGCTTGAAGTCGAGGAAGAGAAAATAGAATTCAGCAGTAGAAAGAGGACGCGAGAATCTCTAAGAGAAAAGGAAAAGGAGAGAGAGCGAGAAACTGAACGGGAGCGCGAGAAGGAGAAGGAGAAGGTAAGAGAGAGGGACAGTAAAGCGAAAGAAAGGGAATCTCTGAAAGAAACATCGATGGATACTAGAAAAACACCCCTCAAATTAGATTCTGCGTCGAGTCCGCCTAAACCGGCAAAGAAACAATGCAAAGTGGACGATCTTTTGTTGAAAGTTACCAGCAGACAAACAAAGTTGCAGGCGAAGGAAAAGAAAGCTCTGGAGGAGACGACGCAGTGTAATGGTAAAGAGGAAGTGCGAGATGTTAAGAACTTGCCACTGTCCAGGCGGGGGAGAGGCAAAACGACGGCGGAGGCTCTGAAGATGCCGCAACTTACGCCGGAATCTCCCAGCACGAAGAACAGAGCCGAAAGTTCTGTGATACCGCCTCCTTCGTTGTCTCCACCGCCCGAGTCGATGAAGAACTCTCCCGTTCGAAACAAGCAACCGTCGGTGCCGGAGTCACCGTCTGCGAAGCACTCCAGTAACATTGACAACAAGAGCGAGACCACGGAAGATAGTGGTTTGCCCGTTCCCACGGAAACGGAAGTGGTATCCGCGAGTTCCGGCGAATATGAGGGCGGCGATGAGGATGAAGGAGAAGAGGAAGAAATAGCCGCACCGACGCCTAAACTCGTGACGCAATCGGCCTCGCCCAGCATGGAGAATCCCGTGACAGAATCGTGTGAGGACGAGAAAGCGGATAACAAGATTCCGGAGAAAGACAACGATGAGAGCTCGTTGCAGAAGACGGAAGCAGCGGATCTATCACTAGCGGTCGGCGACGATCAGACTGAAACTTTAAACGAATGTGATAAGGACTCCGAGACTGAGAAGCGTCCAGTTTGCAGTCCGGAGGCATCGAAATCAGTACCTGAACCAGTTGCTTCACCAAAAGAGGAGGAAGTCGAGAAGTCGGAGAGCAGCGTCATGCCGAAAAAGGACGACCGTGATAGCCCTCCCAAAGAGGAGCTCGTTCCCGAAACGCCGAAGGATACCAAAATTGATTTGTCGCGACCAAAAACGGAACCTTTACTCGTGGAGAAAAAGGACACGTGCGCTCTCGTCAACGCGACGGTGACGTCGGAAGCTGAGCCCCTCACGCCGCAAGAGAAACCGTTGTCCGCTGTGGAGCATCAGGATACGACCTTGCAGTTACAGAATCAAACGGAAGAACTGAAGCAGCATTCGCCGGAGAGTGGCAAGACTACGCCCCATCTGGAGAATCCGGGTTCGGTGAAGAGAACACCGCCGTCGCAACCGGATCTGCCGTCCATGGGAGTCTACACCCCGGACTCGACGACTAACTCGGTGCACTCGCTGCACTACAGCCAGTGCGACCTAGATGTGAGTCAGTTGGGTCTGGAGTCGCCCACTTCCATCGCCAGCGATCTCGCGTCGCAAAACAGCGTGGAGAGACCGCCCAGTGCTTTACCGTCTATCCCACCGTCTGTAAGCGTGCCGATCTCGGTACCCATGCAGATTGCGACGCCGGTTACATCGTCGGTGCCGGTGATAATGCCGCAGCAGGTGCAGTACGCCGACTGCTCGATGCATACTCCGCCGGCCCATCACCCGAGCATTCACTCGATGCATCAGCCACACACCCCGCAATCTCTCCAGCAGCCGCGTACTCCGCAGAGCATCCCGACCCAGAGCCCGCAGCCACTTCCGCAGAGTCATACGCCGCAACCAATGCCGCAGTCGCACACGCCGCAGAGTATACCTACGCAGAGTCCGCAACCGTTGCCTCAAAGTCATACGCCGCAGCCGTTGCCCCAGTCGCACACGCCGCAACCGATGCAGCTGTCGCTGGCGCAGCAGGCGCAGAGTCAAAGTATGGCGCACAGTCAGTCTCAGCAAACCCAGTCGCAGCAGCAACAGCAACCTGCGCATCAGCAGCAGCCCCAGCCTCAACAGCAACCGCAGCAAACTCAACAATCTCAATCGCACAGCAAGCGCGGTTCACAGACCACACATAGGTCCAGGTCGACGCAACAGAGTAGCAGATCGCATCGGGCCACTCCACCGACGTCCCACTCCACCCAGACCTCTCAGCACAGCGTCGCGACCAGTCACAGCAGTACCGTGGCGCACACGGCGCATGTGGCGGTGCCCCCGCAGTATCAGCAGTCGCCGTCGATGAGCGTGCCTCCATCAGTGCCGCATCCGCACTCGCACACCCCGCACGCCGCGCACTCGCACAACATGGCCGTGATCTCGCAGGGCAATTACATGGCAGTGGCGGCGGGTTCGCAAGGCTTCTCCACACAGAATGCCTACGTGATCCAGCATCGCAGCGGTCGTTCTGGCGCGCCGACGCCTTGCACCACCGCCACGAATTTCTACATACAAACGAGCGCGATGCCGCCGCACTCGCATACCCCGGCGCCGACTCCGCTGTCCGCCTCCGGCGGTAGTCATCAGACCACCAATTCGTGCAGTCTGGCGAAATTGCAGCAGCTCACCAATGGCTTGGAGATGATACCGCCGACGCCGCCGCCAGCGATGAACCTCACGCCGCCGCCACCCATCCCACACACCATGACGCCCCCGCAGTCGTCGCGGCAGCTGCCGACGCCACCTCAGGTTGGACCCTTGGGCTACCCGAAGAACTATTACAACGTTAACACCGTGCCGCCTGGCACGCCCGGACCGCCCGGCCGGTCCACCTCGCGCTCGTCCGCGAACAACATGCCGTCGCTCACGCAGCCGTATCCCAACGAGAGCCTCTATCGGCAGACCCTCGATCCAGGCGGTGCCTGCCCGCAGATGCAGAGCGCCGCGAGCCGCGTCAGCCCGAATGTCGCTCTCAACACGAATCTCATGGCCGCTCAGTACGGTTACCGGGTAGCACAACCGGCGACCGGTTACATGAATCAAGCAGCGCAGCTCGGCGGCTTCATGAACCAGGCGAGTCAGCTGCCGGTCGGCGTGGTCAACGTCCCGGCGCCGTATCCGCAGGATCCGCACCAGCAGAACCCGGCGGCCGTCTACACGTACCACGGTTACATCAACGGCGGTCTCATGCAGCCCCTCAACAGCTCGATGAGGCCGCGCTAGCTGCGATCATCGCCTATCCCGAATGGATCAATCTCTCTCAACGTTCGGACGGACGAACGAACTTTTTCGCGCGACAAGTTAATGCTCTCTTCGATACGACCATCGACGGCGACCCATCTTCGATTTCCTGCTACGTGACCGACTGCTCGCCGTTTTCATTAGCTCTGTCCACGAGCCAGACTTGCTCGAGTCTTCTCGTCACTCTGATTTATTTGCGTCAGCAATCCTCTTTTTCCGATCCAGATACTCCACGCAGCTTCTGATGGTGATGGTGCTCGCTGTGATTGGCGAACACAGACGGTCGATAGCCGTAATGAACAGTGCGGCGGATCGCGAGAGAACTGAGTGACGCACTTGTAACAGAAGCAGAATCCATGTTCGGCAAATCCGTTCGTCAAACATAATGTATTTTAATTCTTTACCAAGCAAAATATATTCGCGAATCACTAGTGTATTAGCGTGTGTCTTATATACGCCGGTACGTCCGAAATTCGCTACGCGAATATATAATGCGCATTACTGTTTTAACTGCACATTCAATTTTAGGAAAAAAACAGGAGGAGAAAGATAAGAGAGGATAATTGATACGATCCTCTTCACTTACGCCCGTTTAACTGCGGGATGTTTCTCCTCTGTGCTCGAGGAAGGCTCGTATTAAACTGATTCTTAACTTGTCGACAAAGATTGCACACAAGGTACAATTTAATCATAGTTATCGATCGGTGATTCTTCGAAGACACGAGTTCGTATACTTGTGCATTTAAATTAGAAGGAAAAAAGGGGAAGGGAGACGAGACGTTATCTTAGGCGGATTAATTTCCGTCGGCTAAGGTACCGCGCTGCCCTTCACCTCTAATTCGAAAGAAAGAAATAAAAGTGGGGGTGGAAGAAATAAAAGAAAAGAAAATGCGGACACCTATTTTTAGTAGGGCATTCCTTCGCGAAACCGCAGCAGTGTTACGTTTTATGTATTTATATATATAAATATATATAAATATATTTACGAATAATATTCTGTTTGATATTATCAATTGTTGAGCATTGTTGTTTAAGTTGGCACACTTGTACTTTACTGTATCATAAAGGAAAAAAAAGGTATCTGCGTAACTGCTATGATAATCCTAATTGTATTATTACGGAAGTCGATTAATTGTCGCCGACATCGTCTCACCAGTGTAAAATCGTCAGTCTCGATCGTCAACGCCATCGTTTACATAATTTTTATGAATTGTTATTATTATTATCATTAATAATCATTACTATTGTGACAGATGTGAAACACACACGCACACAAAACAGTACATACATACATACATACATATATACAGAAACTCACACAGGAAACGTAATCATGCGTTATATTTTAATTGTCACATGTACGATGTCACGCCTTCGTTCGAGCATTCATTATTATATGTTTTTATTATCTAATATCGCGAGAGGGTAGCTCTAATTTCGAAATGAATAACGGAGCGCGCAATCAGGCTCTTCCACGAAGCGTCGCGAGACTCGTGCCGAAATTATTTTTTGTATCGAAATCGCGAGAGAAAGCGTGCGCGTACGTCGATTTCCCTTCGCGAAGTGAAGGAAAGAGGAACATCGGTAACATGAGCGCGTTACCCTGAACACATTGTCCCGAAACCGCGTAATTTCCCTCCCTCGTTGTGGGCGACGCTTCGCGGAACGGTCGTGACGACAAAAAAATAATAATATATTTATGGTACGAAACGTTACGAGTTTAATTTTTTCAGACGAGAGAACGAAAAGAAAACGAAAGAAAAACGGCGAATTGCCTAGCTTAGAGTAATTGAATAAGATAATTAATAATGTATAAAAATACATCAATATTTATTGTACATAGATCTAAAAAAGACTACTAACAAATAAAAAAGAAATCAAAAATACGTGATCGTGTCTTTGTTCGTTTCCAGGTGCCATGTACGACGTACGCGTAGTGTGCAGAATCATCCTGCGCGAACTCGATCCTCTACAAGCTTTGTTACTTCATCCTGGACATAGGAAATGCGATCAGAGCTCTAGCTTGTATTTGAAGGATTCTGAGCAAAAGTAAAATAAGTCCATAATTTCTGTATGATACCTTGGCAAATGTACATTCTCTCGTGGATTTTACGAGTCACATTCTCATAGTTCATTATTAAATTAGACATAAAATTATGGCTTCTTAAACTTGATAATTTTATGGACTCAGTCCACTTTTATCTTGAACGATTCACTCGGTTGGGAGTTGATAGTGATTTACGCGCCGTGCTCTCATTTCTTTCTCGTGGATTACCTCGAGTGCGTGGACGAACGTTTTCTCTTCCGTTTCCTTTCCTGGCGCCGTTTCTTTTCCTCGTTGGCGAGATCCACGTATTTCTTTCTCTGCTCGGGAGTCATGCGGGACCACAATTTGCCCGCGGCTCGCGCTATCACGGTGACATGCTCGTTCGGCTTCTTGCTGCGAAGTCGCAGGAAGAAAATGATGAAGGGATTCGTCGCTCGAGCCCGGACGTTATGCCTATTCTGCGAACTTTGGCCGGCTGCTTTTCCGCTTTCGTTCGCGGGTTGTCTGCCTTTTCCGGTATCTGCGCTACGTGAAGGGCGAAACTGCAAAGTACGCTTTTGCGCTGCGCTCTGTGTTGATCTCGTCGAAAAGTTTCAACATTCTGTATTATGACATCAAAAGCGAACAATTCTTGCGCTTTTACGTTTGCGTAAATAATAATTATTAGTTGGGGAGAAATTATTTTTTCTATAAAAATTGTACATAAACTTTTCTTTTATGGATATATCTTTCGTTGCGAGAAAATCATGCGCAACTTTTCATCGTTTCTGACGTCAAAATTCAAAGTGCATGATGTAAATTAGCATGATGCAACTTGAGCAAGCCTACGTCGGGTGCCAAGGATGAATCAAGAATCCGTAAATATCAGAAACGTGGAGTCGTACGGGACTAGATACCGCTTCGCGTCATAAAGTAGAAATTATCTTACTTGCAGTGACCCTCCTTCCGGTCTTTCTGTACCTTCGGCGGTTGCGCGGAATTGGCGTTCCCCATTTCCGCCTCACCTTACGGAAGTGTCAGCGATTGTCCCGACAATTTAACTTGACAATTTATTATTTATCATTCACACCGGTCTCGGTCCGGTGATTTTGCCCGGAGACAGTTGTCACGTTGACATTTGTATCGCGAAAGACCGTCCACTGTTTTTTCAAAAGACGAACACGATTCAGGCTTGCAAGAGGGAAATCATTCTCAATTCCGACGCAATCAATTCTACACGTGCCTCTATATCTTATCATCTTCGCTTTAATTAATATAAGTTCTAATTAGTAATAATTATAATCGTTATAATTACAACGAGAGACGTAGCTGCCCTATTTTTTATATTATAAAATTCACATTTCTCACGCTTAATTTAAGATTTCTTATTAAATTAATACTGCTATAATGCATGGCATTACAAAAATCTAGATTTCGTTTGCCAGAGAGTCGATACAAATTCCTATTCTGTATGCAATACGCTTTGTAGTATAATTATATTATAATGTCATTTTTATATTCCAAATTCCAATATGCAACGTTATAATTCCCCGCCGGCCTGCGCAGCTTTCTTCGGTTTCTTGTTTTTGCTCCGCTTATCGGGACAGTAACATGCCTGCTTCTGAGCGTCGAGGAAGCTCTTGCAACCCAGCGCGATCGTTCCCGTGAAGAGGGTCTTGGCCGCAGCCTTGCACGTGTTGACGATACTGTAGCCGGTGTTTTGATACGTGTCGCAATATCTGTAGAGGCATCTCTTGAATTCCAGATCGCACTTCTCCTTATCCATGTTACAAGTATCGTAGCAAATGTCGTGGGCGTCGCAGCACTTGGTCATTTCGGCGGTGACCGGAAGGTATTCCTGATTCACCTGCAAATATTCATAACGATATGTAATGACCGTGCGATTAATCAAATTAAACTATAGAAACTCCAACTAAATTAAATTGCAAACTCGACTAAATTGAATTATCAGCGCTGATTAAATTATAAATTTAAATTGTCGTAGATTAGATTGTAAATTTATGCGTTACAAATGATGAATTGACCAAACTTGTAGATTGTAAATAATATAAATTACAAATGATGCGCAACTTGTTCGCGCAGTTAATTGACAAATGTAAAGACGAGACAAAAATCATTTTATTATAAAAAAAATTGCTCAGTCACGTATTGTTTATCCATTCTCTCAGGGAGGCACACCGACCTGGATCCCGAGGGAACCGCATCCGTCGCTTTGCGGCTTGTGATTCCAGTCCGCCTTCGGCGCGGATCCTGAAAACGATTTGAATAATGCGCCATTAGTCCGGCCGCAACGCCGCCGCGCCGCTCGTGAGCTCGTCCAATCGCGACGCACCATGTATGCACTTATGCAGCTGTCGCCGCCGTCAGGCGTTCACGTTTGTGCACTCACGAGGAACAAAAGCGGAGAAATCTTATTAATTAATTCGTCGTTTTATTCTCTTTCTCCGCAATGTATGATATTTCTGCGATCGATTTTTATGGAAAGCGTAACAGAATTGAAAAAAGCGGGTTTTGTATATTTGTATTCGCGAAATTTGACAGAGACACAACAATTATGTCCATTTCTATCGGTACAGTATTAATCTCGATTTAACCTACTTTTTATCCTTTTCCAGTTTTAAGAATTAGAAAGAATTACAGATTAAAGTTAATTAATCGAACTTCGATCGAAGCCATTCCGCAAATCTGAAGGAAGAAGGAAAGGGGTGTAGAAAGTGCAATTAAAAGCCAGGAAGATCCGCGCGAATCGATCGGAGAATTGACCAATAGCGGCGTTGGGAGATAACCTCTGATAACCGTCGGCGTTGACACATGTGAAATCGCAGCCCCCCTTTCTCCTCCCCCCCTGGATAATACACACCGTCGGGACACTGGAAGACGCAGTTCTCCTCCACGGCGGCGTCGATCACCTCGTGTATGTCCTTGATCTTCTTCGCCACGGTTATGACGTTGGCGAAGAGGTCATGGAAAACCGTCTCCGCCGCCAGCACGGCGTCCCGTAGATTCGTCAGCAGCCCGGCGCCCCACCCGGACCAGGCGTACGCCAGGAATGTCACCACGTAGATCATAATTTTGCGATGCCGCATCAGATCCATTTCTGTTCCTCTCTTTCGCTTCTTCGAGTCGATCAGCCCCGGATCGACACGATCGGACGACTCTCGCCGGACTGCGGGTATTTTTAGATGGGCATGTGTATTGTGCGCGCCCACCCGGCCCGGCCCACCGCCGTCGTCGAGGTAGACACGTGGTGCCCCGTGTTGTCGACGACGTCGACTCGATTGTCGCGCCTTGGCTTTTCATCACTTCTCGTCTACTTGCGTTAATAAATCTTTTTCATTACGAGATTGATATACCGATTTGCGTGAGAAGGAAAGGGAGTGCAGAAAGAGCAGCTGACGGACGGGCTTGCTTTTTTTGTATTTCGTCATGTCGCGCGAGAGACACGCGTAGCTTTTCCATTTCGTGCTGAGATCTAATTAATATGTAATTCGATTGATAAATTCGGCAGAAGTTGACAGATTTCCTTATGTAGCTTTTACATATCAATTTTTGTCAGTCGTGTTAATTTTAAGGACGACTTGGATCGCACTGCAATTAACTTAATCACTATATAATTAACGTTGATAATACAGCTTTCATATTAATCAGACGGAATTATCCATTTTCTTTTATTTTACGAAAAAAAAATTTAGAAATTAAGGAGTAAGGGATTAAGGGTAAATTAAAAAATTTTCCTGCAATTTTCGCCATATAAGAGCTATATTGAATTAATTTCCCGAGTTAAGTTGTTGCGATTTAGAAATGTAGGTACCTATATACTCTAAACACAATTCGTTTGATTTCATAATATTTATTTCTGCTATTTAATGTAGATTAATTTTTAATCTTAGAACTAGAAAAAATAAAAGGTTAATTAAAGTTAATTTACATTGATATAGAAAATGGACATAAGCTGTTTCTGTAAACAAGGTTCAAGTAGACGGGGCTAAAGTGAGATTGAAATTACAATTATATATAGTTTACAAAACTATATGAGAAACTGAAAAATGATAAATTCTCATTTAGTTTAACATCCCAAACCCAGATATATACTCATTATTTTATTTGATTTAGATAGCGCAATCCAGGATGCATACCTGAAAGGGTTAAATTTCGGAAAATTTTTAAATAATTATAAATTTCGATTTTTATTTACATAACGTGGTTCAGTGAAGCAAGACGAGTCCAACGAGACTAATTACGTGGTGATCAGACAGTTATTACGAATTTAGGCATCAAAGGGTTAAGACCTTAAAAATCGAGCTTTTCAAAGAGAGCTTTTCAATAGAATAAAATATTTTCATGTATGTTTGGACCCAACTAAGTGAGATCCGTGCTGTTAATTCGTGATAATTGAATAGATATTTAATTTTTTCACTTTTTCAAATTTTGACATAGCGACTTTGTGAGTTTTGATCCGATCGAGCTCCAAAAGATCTCGTTTTGTCTCTTGTATAACTAAAGAAAGCTACCCGTATACTTTTTATTTGATTTTTCCTATTATTATGGATTTTCAAGTTGTTAGGTCGAAACTTGAACGAAGCGTCAGAGTGCTTTAATATTGATATATTTGTATTTATATAGGAGGACTAGAGAAACGAGTCCATATAATTTTTATTTCGATTAAATCATTATTTCGATACGCGACTCATTTTGACGAGATATTTAATTATTAAGTATTATTCATAATAAATACGATATTTGTGTTTAGTTTAGCTTAATTAAGTATAAGATAGTCATTTTAATCGAGAAATATGAATATGATTATTAAAGATTTTCATAAAAATTATTAAAAAGTTAAATTTCGATAATTATGCGAGAAAATTAGCATAGAGTGCATTAGTTTGAAAGGACATTTGATGTTATAAAGTAAAAGTTGCAATTTATTCGCATTTGAAGAATTTTATTGTCGCGAGAGGTCAGTTTATCGATTTTCGTACCCTGCGTGTGGAATCAATTTAATTATTAGAATTGTTCACTAGAGAACTAATAAAATTAATTGGCATTGTTTTGCAAGCCGCAGAGGCATTTTACAGATATTTAATCTGAATTCCTGAAAATGGGAAATATGCGTTATTTACGTTTTATTCATTTACAAGCGTATTAATTATTAACAGAAGTTTATTTTATACTTACCTGATCATTCCTGTGATGATCTAGAGAGTGAGCATAGCGTACCTGAAAATAAAAAAGTAAGATTAGTAAAGGAAGCGAATTAAAACTTTGAAAATGATTGCAATACGTTATAAACAATGTAATGAGCAGGGAATTAAATGAAATTATTGTGATTTATAAATTTTAATAGAATAACGTATTGGCATTTGCATAATTGAAATATTTAGAAAGAAGCGTAATAAGGATGCGTAATTAATTTAGAGAGAAGAAATGGATCATGCGTCACAGGAATAATATTCGTTTAATATTGTAAGAAACCCGCGTTAAGATTAGTCACGTTGGCACTGTAGCTGGCAGACCTGCGGAAATGTCGGGAGGAGACATTACGCCGGACAGGCGTGATCAGAGCTGAACACGGAGCTTGTTGCTCCGATTGTAATGCGCGGACAGACGATCGTGAGCCGCGAAAGGTAGAGGTAGACCGTCTCCGGTTGCGCGCTGCGGTGCCTACCGTATCGAGTCGTGTGTAACGAAACTAAATAATAAACTATATAAAAATAAGCACATCTAATTTCTATTATCCTGATATCCCATCGAGTTGATCCTTACAATATTTTATTTGATAATTATGCCTTATGCAACATCGAGACATTTAATCTGCAATCGAGTTTGCAATAACATTAATTAATTATATATATTACTGTTCATACCTTTGTAGAGATATGTATAACACAATCATGTTGAAAAAATAATCTTTGTATGTATTTTTAAAAAATCTGCGCTACACATAAAAAATAAATTTTTTTAACTAAGTAGTTAAAAATATCTTAAAATTTTATTATCTTCCATTAATTTATGTCTTTAAAATTATTATTCCTTATCCTACTCAGACAGACAGAGTTGTAAAACTTCCATATTATATTTTTTGAATATTTTATATTTATGACATTTATATAATATCATTAATGTAATGCTTTATATATTTTTTAAATGTAACTTTATTAAATCGTTTTATTTTAACTAGTTATAAAAAATTCTATTTAAAAAATTATCTTTATCCTTATCCTTACTTTGAATAATAATTAAAAATTATCACAATAATGTAACATAAAATATAAAAAGAACTACATATCAAATAATTTAAATCGAATTCAGATTATTTTGTTGTAATATTTTATCAAAAAAATTTTTGGGAAATCATATTCAATATTTTGTTAACATATCTTAAAAAAAACAATATTGATTGTAAATTTCTTTTCTATAATGTTTAGAGTATTTCTGAAGATATCGATATTATTTGACAAATTAAGGATAGAAGAAAAGGCAAATATTCTGCGGAATTACGTGCTTTTGCATTAACTTTAAACTTTTATATAGTCCAAAGGCATATGATTATATCAGAAATATTTTTCATAATAAATTACCAGCGCCATCCACTATTCGTGCTTGGTACAGCAATATAAATGGATCGCCAGGTTTAACTCCAAGAAGCAGCAGTGCAGATATTGAAAAGGAAAAGTGATAATGCAGGCGATAAGAAATTATATGCATGCCTCATTACGGCCATTAGAAGACAAATAAAGTGCAGTATAGGATCATACAAAAAAAACATTAACAGGATATGTGGAAAATGAATTGCCTACCCATGATAATAAACGTTTACCTGTAGCTAAGCAAGCATTAGTATATTTATTAAACGGTGTAAATGAAAGATGGAAACTTGTATCAATCAACTATCAATTGCATACTTCTTTGTTAACGGACTTACTGCAGAAGAACGAGGTGAAATTACAAAGACAGTTCTTACTTCCATAAGTAGTTGTGGAATTCAGGTCATTGCTTTAATTAACTTTTGATGGACTCATATCAAATATTAGCATGTGTAAATATTTAAATGCTAATAATAATTTTGATAGCATTTTGCACCCAACTCATCATGGTTATAAGATTCCAATCATTTTTGACGCTTGTCATATGAGTATAAATTAGTCAGAAATACTTTTGCTTCTAAAGAAATACTGTATGATGGTGATGGTAATGCAATCAGATGGGAATTTATGGTAAAACTTGTTCATCTTCAAAACAATGGTTGCTTTCATTTGGCTAACAAATTGACTTCTAAACATATACAGTGGTACAAAAATAAAATGAACGTAAAACTAGCTGTACAAATTTTAAGCGAGAGTAGTGCCGCAGCCTTAGAGCAGTTTCATGAAGATGGTCATCCAGATTTTACAAATTGTATTGCCACAGCCTAATTTTGTAGAATAATGAACAATATTTTTGATTGTCTTAATTCAAGAAATTTTTATTGCAGTAAATATATAAGAATTAAGCCATTATCTAAGGATAAAATGAAAGAAATTTTTTCTTTTTTTGATACATCTATTAAGTATTTGTCATCTATTACATTACAAGTTAAAGGGAAACGTGTTTCAGTGATAGAAACAACATCATAACCGGTTTTCTTGGGTTAATTATTAATATGAAAAATGTACAGTTTTTATTTTATGAATTTATGTAGAGAAGGGATATTTGCAATATCTATTGTCTTATAAGTTATCACAAGATCACTTGGAAATGTTTTTTTCATGTATTCGAGCAATGGGAGGATATAATAATAATCCCAGTATCAAGCGCAATTTATAGCTTCATATAAACGCCTTCTGCATCACAATGAAATTACACAAGGAAATTGTGTTCCGTTGGATAATATTCCTATCCTAAATGTTTCATTGCACAAAACATCAACTAGTTCGAATACAGAAAGAGAAAATGAAAATAATGAAAATGAAAAATAATAATATGTTAATTGACGATATACCACTGCTACATATAAATCTTGCTAATAATCACGCAATTACATACATATATTGCCATGCCCCGCGCCATCGCCGGCATTACTGCAGCCAGTGCCAGTGCTGCGATTTCGAGCATTATTGGGATTGGCGGTCGTGACGTCACAAGGCAAAATGGCCGGAGAGAGTAGGTCACTTGTCACTCTACAATACGACGTATGTGCTTATTCCCTGAACCGAATTTTTACCAAAAGTATATGAAATAGGGGTAAAATTTTCCGGGGAGTGCCACTATGTGTATAGTTTTTTAAGTCGATTTATTTATGTGGCAGCCGGCGACCTACTCTTTTTAGTTCTGTTTTCGCCACCAGATGGCGTATCGCAGTTTAGTCATTCCCAATAGGTAGCGTGATATTGCAGTTGAGTGACTGCGTCCTGCGTCTGCTTGTCCGCGTTCATTTGTTGATTCTCATCTTTTTTTACATCACAGATTAACGTTGTATTCGCAACAGACAACAGCTTCAGAACTCGATTTGATAAAAGGAAATCAGAGAGATCAGTCGCCAAACCTTATTATACACGCATTAATCTAATATCATCATCTAGAGTATCTAGACAGTGCTCGAATATTATCGTAGCTATTGAAAAAGAAACGCAAGATCTTGGTTCGACTGATTAAGATTCAGCGGAAAAGTAAGTACGCATAATGGCAAATCGACTAAAGTTCTTAACAGTTCTTTTCTCAACTTTATTGTGACTACGCGTTGTTAGAACATTAGTTGTTAGAAAACATATAAGACTTTTTGAAGTATAACGAATTAATCATGAAATTTCCTAAAGCGTCATTTCTATTCATTCTACTACATAGCAAAAAAAATGCATAAATTCATACACATATCAAATCTATTTTCTACTAAAAGGTGAAATTTTAATGCAATTATTAATCAGTAAAATTATTAATGCAAAAAGTCCACTTCAGATAAATCTGTTGTATCAGAATTCAAGACAGTACTCTGTTTATATGTAATATAAAAAAATATTTTAAAAATTGGACTTATATACATGTACATCAATGTGTGTAAAGGGGGATAAAATTTTAACCCTTCGCAGAACATGAATAATTTGCTGCTTCCGTCGGACTTGTGGGTCTTTTAGGGTAGTTAAAATTTTCAAGCTGTAACAGTGCCATAAAAAATCTGAAAAAATTCAAGTATACTTTCGAAGGCTTTAAGAATCTATTTATATCGTTATATATGCTTGATTCTTGTTTGGGGTTTTTTTTATGAACCAGTAGTCTCCAAAAAATTTAAAACTGAAATATTGACCGGGTCTCTAAAGCCCCACTGGTTCTGCGAAGGGTTAAATATAAGTATCTCCTTAAATTTTTAACGGGATTTATAGATCGTGTAAGACTTGAGCAAGAAAGCAGCACTTATTAATAATTCTTGGAATTTGACACAAATATGACAATAGTCATAACTTTCAAGTATTTATTAAATTGATCTTGATCAACGAAAATAATCATGTTTAAGTTTTCTCTTACAATTCAGCTATTCATTCAACTCTTTTGTGATTGTCTGACATACAATTTATTTTTATTTAAAGAAAAATATATTAAGTATAAGGTGTCCCAAAAATCTCTATGTTTTTCAAGTTTAATCCACAGGCTTCTATATGTTTTCACTTTATTATATTTGTTACATCTACAGACTTCTATACAATATCGCTGTATTTTTGGACAACGGTTAAATGAATTTCTATCCTACAATAAAGACAGCTGCTATACAAGTTAGCAGTCTTGAGTAATATATGTAGAAGTCTGTGATTAAACCCGATTTTAAATGGCTCTTACGTGAGCGTATAAGCGTATTACATGTTATTGTAATATTTGTTTAAAATTCAATCTATTTTATTATAAAAAGTATAGAGACTTTTTCAGGATATTTTGATTTTGATTATTTTTATTATTTATAAGTAAGTTAATTATTTCCAGTTGTGGAGATTTGAAGAAGATAAAAATACCCATACTGAGACGAAAATGGAACAGAAAGTATCTTCATTATTTTTACCTTCATATATCAAGAGCTATTCTCAAACAACGTTTGAAGTGACTACGTCTGACTATACATGGAAAATTGATCAATTTGGGCGTCTTGCTGTAATCGTAGATACATTAAATTCTCCACCATTTGGAGAAAACAACCAATACAAGATTGAAATAAGTATTTCACGTCAAGATTTGCTATGTGGTTTACGAATTTCAATACGTACTGATACAGCATTTAGCGGTTCATGTACGACTACTATAATGCATCCGCCTGAAACAGTTTTATCATCAAGATCGATTTCGAGTCTTATATCGGATATGACATTGTTAATTGATGTCTCGGACCACTCGTACATTTCTACAGAGTCATTTATAATACATTGCAAAATTGAAAATTTTCATCAATTGGTAAATAATACTATACATATGAATTTACAACCATCTGCACCGGTATTTAAAGAGGTAAACTCTCATGAAGACTCAACTTTTGAATTCGAGTCTAAGAATGAGAAATCAATCAAATTTATAGTGGGAGAAGAAGAGTATATTATATCAAAAAAAATATTGTGCGACACCAACAGTAGTTACTTTAAGTATATCTGTCTTACACATAAGGAAAAAGAAAAAGACATGACAAGTGAATTAGTAACGGATGATGAAGTAAAATCTTTTAAACAGGTTTTATTATATATTACAACTGACTCCATTGATCGGGGTGATTATGAGATGCTTAAAAAATTATTAACAGCAGCGGATAAATATGATGTCCAAACTTTAAAATTAACGTGTGAATATTATTTGTTACGCAGTCTTACGATTGAAAATGCCGCTGAACTTGTACAGCTTGCGCTTTCGTCTAATGCAAAATTTTTAGAAACGCATTCAGTAACTTTTATTAAATTTCACATAAAAGAAATTAGGGACACTAAAACATTTCAAAGTTTATCGCAAGAAGATTTAAATAAGATAATGGAATTGATTGAGAAAAGTAAAACACTTGAAATCAGTACTCAACTTTTTTCGTCACCACCTAAATCTAAGACAACGACACATCAGAAATCTAATTATAATTATCGTCATTATTAACATTTATATGTATAAGAATTTATATGCAAATAAGTATTAATATGGATTAAAAATGATTCGTTTTTTTTGGTTTTGATGTACGAATGAAACTGTTATTAATTATACTCAACGTAGTTTAGTTAAAACGTTTTCAAGTTTACAAGTTAATCTAAAACGAAAGAAAATGGAAAATATAAGAATTTTTACAAACCTACGTTATCTATAAATGTTTTATTTATTTTTATCAGTACTATATCTTATTAAAATTTTTAATCGTTCTATAGATCATTCTGTGTACTATAGTATCAGAATCTTTAACAGCTATCTTTTTCACCGAGCAAATTATTTGCCATGAATTTAAACTTGATTTTTGTTCTTTTATGTTTGTCGCAATTGTATGTTTTCGATGTTGTCATTAATTGGGGTTTAATAAAATGCGATTAAATTAAATAATTAAAACAATCATATCGGTAGATGGAAGAAAATGCTTCGCAAAAATTACAAATGAGTTAAATTTGATAACTCATTATTTCAAAATCTAGAGATCGGTTTAAAAATAAAAATGTTACAAATATGATCTTTTTGGTTAATTTAGTATCTCTTGTTAATCTAGAAGTTTTTGTGCTTAATTTGAAATGAAACTTTATATTGTTGCTTTGAAAGAAGGTAATTCGAAAGTAAAGGGTAATACAAAGTGTGAATTATGAAACCGAAACTTTATAACCGAGTAGAATAAATTTAATTATTCCTAAATAATAATAATAATATTGAAATGTAATGTCGGATCTGTCAGGTAAAGTGAGAATTCAATGTATTCTATTTAATGTATTCTGTTTAATCGTCTAACGTATATTCTATGTAATAAAGAAGTTTCTAATATATCTCTCATCAAACGCATTTGTTTATTCATTATTTTCCTAGCATATTTTAGCAATTAACAATTATTATTGCATAAATAAGGTAGTCGACTCATTAATTATTATAGTAGAATTTGACTGCGCGAAACTTCAATAAAATATTAGAGTATTTTGAAGCTAATCTCATTGTGTGTGTCAGTGAAAATAGTCGTGAATTATAAAAGTTCTTTGTGTAAGTCTAGTTTAAGATCCTTGTTGCATCTAAGTATCTTAAGTTATACCTAAAGTAAATCAATTATAAAGAATCACTAACAATAAGCTAATTTTTCTGCTAAACGTATAGTATAGATTATAAAGGGTGTATTTCTAAGTCTATTAATAATTGAAAATTTATAATTTACATTTACATATGCTACAGATTTTCAGTACCGACTACCGTCAGTACATTTCAGAATACTCCTAACGAAAGAATTAAAAGGTTTTAACGTTATGTGACAAAAGAAAGCATCTTTGGCACAGAGATACAAGGGCACATATAGAAATTTTCAAGATGAATTCCGATCAGAATACTTTTGTTTTCCTTAGAAAATCTTAGAAATCTAGGAAATAATTAAATCATTCCGATCGGAATTTATTCCGAAAAGTTCCATGATACGTGCCGAGATCTCGTGGCGCGCGATCTATCCGTGACATAGATGGAGAGGACAAACACCCTAAGAAAAAACCACGATACATATACATGTAACACATACGTATGTGGCTCCTTAGGTCGTGCCCCCTCCATTGTACTTTACGGATTAGTCGGGGCCCGGGGCGCCTGGTGCTCGAATCTATTTCATTTTTGCAGTGGCTACGTTCATAATTATTTGTTCATTCGCATTCGTTTCTCCCATCATCTCGACGTAAGACGGAAGACGTTGTATTTGCGGTACCTTGGATACTTGATTTTAACAAAGGAGGAAATAAAGGAAATCGATTGCCACATCCGTACACGGATTAGTCTAATAACTGCTTTATCTGGACGGTGTTGGAAAATTATATAGAAGCATGTCGTTAGAGAAATTTAGTATGTTAAGTTTAACTGATCAAGATTCAGCGGAAAAGCAAATACGTAAAATGGAAGAGAAGCAAGTAAGTTTTCAACAGTTCTTTTCTCAACTTCGTTGACTACATGTTTTAAGGACGTTATTAGAAAAGACATAAGACATTATATAACGAATCAATTTTGACATTTTCCCAACGAAAATAGCTGCGTTTAAGTCTTCTCCTCCTATTTGTCAATTCACATTTAACTCTTTTATTCCGATTGTATGTCATAATAAAAAAAATATATAAGGTGTTTTATAAATCTCTATGTATTAGTTAAATTAGATTTCAAATGGCTCTTATCTATACATAATTTATAAGCCTCATTATAGAATATTCGTTTAAATTCAATCCATTTTATAAACGTGTGGGTCGTTAGCGTCCTTGGCATTTTGATTATGTGATATTTTTCAGAGGTTCAACGATTAAATTAACAATTGCAAAATCAATTTTATAATATTATTATTATTTATAAACTTATAGTTAAAATTTCAAGGAACGCCTATGAATTTTTTCAGAATTTTTGGTAAAGTTTTAGGTTGTTTAATATATCGCCGCATACCGTTTTCATATACCGTCAGTGGGGACCGAATAAGAGTGTACGGTTGCAGGGTTAAAAAGCAAGAAACTTGAGGACATTTTGATGTTCGTCTTTTTTATTATTCATAAATAAATTAATTATTTTCAGATTTCTGATAAAGAAGTTGAGAATATCTTTACCGATGATCGAGGATACACCGAAAAAGGAGCAGACAGTATCTCCACCATTTTTATCTTCGTATACCAAGAGCTATTGTCAAACACATATTGAATCGACTATACTTGAACATACATGGAAAATCGATCAATTTATACATTTTTCTAAGATCAAAAATATGATAACGTTTCCGTTGTTTTTAGAAATAGGTCAATGCGAGATTCTAATAAGTATTTCACGTCAAGATAATTCGCAGATAAATGCAATAAAATGTTATATATACTTATTACTAATAATTCATTTAGTGGTTCATGTATGTACCACTACTATAATGTATGCGCCGAGACAATACCCTGATGAGTTGTTGTCATCAAACTTTATTTCAGGTCATATATCCAATATGACATTGTTAATTGAGTTCTCAAAGAGGTTTTCGTTTAATCGAACAGATGCGCTTATAGTACATTGAAAGTTCGAAATTTTTCATAATCTGATAAATAAAACCATATTGCCTTCGACAGAAGTTTCAAAAGACGTGATATGTTCTGAAGATTCGACTTTTGATGAGTTTTGGTCTAGAGATGAGGACTCAATCAAATTTATAGTAGGAAAGGAACAATATGTTCTATCAAGAAAATTGTTGTGTGACTCCGACAGTAGTTACTTTAAGTATATCTGCAAACATAAGGGAAAAGTAAAAGATATGACGAATGAATTAGTAACGGATAATGAGATACAAACTTTTAAGCAGATTTTAATATACATTTTAACTGGCTCAATAGAACAATGTGATTATAATATGTTTAAAGATATATTAATAGCAGCTCATACGTATGATGTACCAACTTTAAAATTAATGTGCGAACATTATTTGCTACACGATATTAAAATTGAAAATGCTGTGGAACTTCTACTGTTTGCGTTGTCGTTGAATGCAAAATTTTTGGAAACACATTCGGCGACTTTTATTAAATTTTACATAAAAAAAAATATGGACACTAAAACATTTAAAAGTCTATCGCGAGAAGATTCAAATAAGATAATGGAATTGATTAAGAAAAGTAAATTTGAAGTCAGCACACATAAATTTTTGTCACCAATTACGACAGATGGGATATTTACATTGGCTAATAACCCAGATAATAGAGTGACATCAACGACGTTTTAATTCCGTCTTAATGACGTCTTTAACGATCGTCTTTACACGTCATCTTGCTACCTGGAGATTGATTCATATATGATTGCAGTCTTAAGTATAAAATCATAGAACATTATTAAGATATTTTTCTTATTCAACCCTTCGAGAACACCCAGGGTCAATTTGACCCTTTTTTTTATTTTTTTGCCAGAAAAATTTTTAGCCAGAAATGTTAAACAAAAAAAAAATTTTTTTTGTAAAAAACATTTTTTTTTTTAAAGAACACTGGGTTAATCTGACCTTACACACACTTTGATCGTCTACCATTTTAAATTGACGAGTGCGATCAGCTTGAAAAAATTCCCAGATGTACTTGGAACATTGTTAAATCAATTGATATAAATAAAAAGTGCCGTTGGAATTATTTATATATTTAAAAAAATTAAAAAAAAAATTTTTTTTTAATTTTCATCATTCGACGTACAAGATTTATTTTTGAACACTATTTATTTTTGAACATTGTTTCAGTCGAGTATATTTAAAGAAATATATCTAACAAGTATATTTCAACCGCTTTATGAGTCTTTATAAAATATTAGATTTAACTGATTTCTACATTGGTTTCAGAGCCAAAATCAGTGCAGGATTCGAATAAGCATTTTACATAAATCTGATTGGTTGAAAAGCTTTATAAGATTTTATTTGTTTACTGAAACTGAGGTTATTCTAATTCGCGTGATATATTTATAATTTACTCGAAAGAGTTTCACAAGAAATTATACATATAAGTCCAATTTCGGTTTTATATCGAATTGTGTTGTTATATGAAATTACAGTAGAATAGTTATATATACAAATTACTCTATTTTATTCCTGCCTTAGCAGGATACGTTGAAAAAAAGATTTTAGTCTACAAAATGTCAGACGTGTTATCAATTGTTCAATGAATGTGAGGGAGTAACATCCAAGTTTATTGATAGAAAAAATTGTGGATTGTTATTGTTAAGATATCCTCGAATAGATACGTTTACTATTGTAAGTGCTGCAGAAAAAAATTTTAATTTCTTTAGAATAAACAATAAAATAAGTAGTTCAAACGCATATATAATTTAATATAATAATTTCAAAAACATTAAGAAATATACACGTGACTGCATTATTTAATAATTTTGATTTGCATAATCGTGAAGTTTGCTCCGCACAAGGGCCTGAATCTTGCACGGAGGGGCGCAGCTTTCGGAAAAACATTCCACGGCTCTAGCGGACTCGAACCTAGTTCCTCAGATTACGAGTCTGGCGCTCTACTACTAGACCACACTGCCGCCCAAGTTTCGTTTATTTGTTTTCAAACTTACGGTCGAGATATCCATATATATGTCACGTATAAGAAAATAAGTTTTCGCGTAGTATTCTTCATTTTCCCTTATGTTGTTCAAAAAGAACTGTTCATCTGTGACGACAACTCTGTTAGCTGCTTCGGGAAATTGTTATCAACGTTTCGCTCATGGCTATCGATTACCAACTATCAATTATGAATTACGTCGTTGTAAATAAATTGCGCTCGGGTTTCTCTCTGGTTACTCTCGCAAAATGATTAATCATCCGATAAAGGCAGCCTTACATCGTAAAAATAAAATAACCCATGTAATTTACAACCACGTTTAATCTCCTTGTAAAATAAGTCTCGAGTAGGTATCTCCCCCCCTTTTTTCTAAAATTCAACGGTTTTAGGCGATACTAACTCCATGTCGATGTAAATATCGATTTTTACTCCGCTGTTAATAAGTATATATTTAAAGGTGGTAAATTTTGTATACGCTCGCGCGCGCGGCGAGCACATATTCCATCTATCTTCTACGATTCTTTCGCCGTTCTTTGTTAGCTAATATTGGAAAACTTCAACAAGGTATGACAACGGTTTTATACAATCGATAAAGAGAAGCTACGTTAATATTGAATAATATAAAATATTTAACCAGCGTAAAAGGATAAAATTTCGTTTTATTCAAATACATTCGATAATTGCGCGAATACCCTTTGTGAATATCCTTCGGGAAACAAAATTTTATTTTTGACAGATCGTTACAAAATTGAAAGAAAAGTAATAATTTGACCAAAAAGGGGGAGGGGGGAGAGGCAACAAACCAGCTGCTAACGGGATCGATGGATTAATCACATCCATTTCTGGCAACCTGCATTTGCTACATCGGCTTTCGCGTCATTCAACCAACAATCCCGCTGTTCGATTCGAATATTTATCGCGCGCGTCTATCAGCAAGTATAATAATAATTGCAGGCCGGCCCACGCCTTTGTTGCCGGCGGAAAACTCGCCATTGTTCTCGGCAAATGTATTCCATTCGTGCCGATTTGCGCGTTTCGCGGAAAGTCCCGACGAGCTGGGGTAAAAAAAAGAAACAAGAACGAGAGCTTTGTCAAACGCATTTGTCGATACCACGAGTCGTCATCGTCATCGTCGTTACTGCAATCGGTGTAACCGTGTGTTCCGTTCGAGATTGCGGGATTTATTTTAGCAGGCTTTCCGGCACGTGACAGCCCGCGTTTATTGCGTTACTTTACGCATGCCATGATACGGGGGCATAGCTAGGTATACGTAACTGGATTTAATTGTGACGTACGGTTGTTGCGATGGATTTCTGACGAACCGCATTGTGAAATCGCGAAGACACGTGAATCCCTTCAACCCGAGGACGATCCAATGTGATGTATCATTGGCACGATATGATTCATTGTACTTATACAGAAGGAGGAACCGAAACGTTCGTAGGTGGAAACGCCGGTGGACAATTTGTGTTGGACGCAAAATCGGATGGAAATCGAAATTCACTCGAAAAACATCTTTTTCTTCCTCCGCATCAACATAGATATATTTTATTTATTGTGGTAGGATAGGTTGCTCCTTCTTACAAACGAATTATTTGAAATTGATCACAAGACGCTTCGACGAGGAAAATTCAAAATTTTTTTTCGAGCTCGCCATTCTCGTACAGTTTCTTCACGTCGGTACCGCCTCCTAAGCACTCTCCGTTGAGGAATACTCTGGGCACTGTCCTGGCGCCAGTTATTTCGCCCAACACGTCTTGTATCTCCTGCGCGTCTTCCCTGTCGTCCAACTCTACCGCCGTGTACGTCTTCTTCAATGAATCAAATACCTGCACATAAAATTCGATTAAATAGATTGAAATAGATAAATAAGAAGTTATTATCCCGATAAATAAACTAGCGATAATTTATATTGATATTGATAATAATTAGTATTAGATGGTAATTTAGATAGTAAATTATTATTATATCTAAATTTTTATATAACTGCATTGTGGAAGACGAGTCATGATTCTTTTAAAAATTCTAGATTGGCCGCGTAAAAAGGACGCGGATTTTAATATCGTAATATTTTAATAGAATCATGAAAAAACTTTGATATAAAATGGCTGAGACATCAGATTGAAAATTATGAAGAAAATAAGAATCGGTTAATTCTGAAAGACACACGGATGTTAAGAACATCAGCCCATGTGCGTCGAACAACTGACAAATTAAATTATTGACGTCATCGTTTCTCTATTGTTTGTTTTCAGGAGATGAATCCACTGGGTGAGACTATCGAGATCGAGCCGTTGTGAAGTCGAGCATAAGTACCTTCTTGGCCATTGTGCAGTAAGGACAGTACGTCTTGGAGAATATGACGATCGAGTCCTTCGCGATCAGCTCGTTGACGAGGTCTCGTGTTGACGGCATGATGGGCCTTTTTGTACTGGAAACCGAACCCATTCTATTGAGCTAAAGGGATCATTTCACTCGATTATGCCTCGCACGTTCGCGTTATAACGTACGCAATTATGTAAGATTCGAATCGCGTCCGATGTCCGGAAACTAACAAAGGAGAGCTTGCGTTCTGCAAGCTTCAAGTAGTAATATAAGTAACTCTTTCTACAAAATTAAATTTCATTATTGGATATCGGACGTGGCTTGAATCGATCGGTCACTCTTTCGACAATTATGTGTTACACGAATTCATGCAGCATCCAATATCTTATGTTAGCAATGTCCAAATAAATATAAATTACTAGACTACGGGGAAAGAGTAAGGAGGGGCTACTTGAGTCAGATAAAGAAAACATTGGATAAAAAAATGTTCAAAACAGAGTTTTTTTAATTTTCAGGATAGGGAGGGGCTTATTAGTCATGGGGCTTTTTGTCTTGAAAATCTTTTATCCGATTTTTTCTTCAACTGACTCAATAATCCCTTTTTACTCTAATTAGATCTTAAATCGTTTCTTTAATCATTCCTTTCTATTAATTGAAGCAAAATGTAATTATATTCTAACCACTCAATCTTGTAAGTCTGTATTTACATCATTAACACCCGACACACGTGACACGTGACGATTTGACAAACGTCATAACCTTCAAACCGATCATATCGTCTAAATTATTCACTCGAAAGAGTGACAATTTCGACTTGCCACCTAATTATTCTATACAATGATTTTATTGCAGCATTTCGCCGATTTTGATGCAGTTGTACAATCAAGGACATCGTCATTTATGGACAATTATATGTCTCTTTCAAGTCGACTGCTTTGGTCAGTGTAAAAAAAAAAGCCAGCAGTAATCATCCATGAGAAACAACAGCGAACGTTCAACGTAAGCAAAAGTAACAACACGCGCGCGAGGCACACAAGGACAAAAAAAGAATCGATAATAATTTATATTGTTTGTATGGAACGCAGGTGCAGGCCGCAGGATTTAACAGCCTAGTATGTGACAAACGTCAGGAGATCAAGGACCTCGTTCGTTCGAATTCGCCCTTACCTTCAGCTGTGACTAACGCTGCTTTAAGAATATAAATAATGCTGTGTCACCGCAGGAATTAGCTGCCTAGTTAGGAGGATCCGATCGGTGAAGAAACGAACGCGCAAATCCGTCCACTCCAGAGATAAGACGCGACTGCTGCACTTGCAGCTGACCGACAGGTTTTACGTTTTACTCCGGTTAATATTAAGTCTCGTGCACACGAGGCGTCAATAGCGAGGTCGCGAATAAGGAAAGCCGACAATGTACAGTTTGGGAAAATGAGGGCGACCGTGACTGAACTCTGATGATTAACTTGTATCAATGCAGATTAATTTTAATCTCGGTTTAACTTACTTTTTGTCCTCTTCTCATTTTTAGAACTAAGAAAAAATAAAAATAAGTTTAACCGAGATTAAAGTTAATCTACGTTGGTAAAAATAAAACCGAAATTCTTAGTTAGTTATTTTTAATTTAATTTTTTTCGTCACAAAGAATGAAAATTAATATTTCTATCCACATTAACAAAATGGTACAAGTTTTATTTGATAAATTAGTCATCCGTTAAATTAATTAGAGTTTGGTGTTTATCACTCTAAAAGTATTTGAGATAAGACAAGAATTCCTGAAATTTTCGGAATTTCAGTCCAGGCGCTTTTCGCGGTCCATAAATTTCTAAAATTGTAGGAAGTCTCGTGAAAATTTAGCCCAGTTTGCTGGCAGAAGGGCGATCGCAATCCTACGTTACGGGCCTGCAATCTGCCAATATGTACAGATGACGTCACATTCTCAACATTGGCACGTGTATCGACTAATCGAACGTCGACGCTAACTGCGAGTCTCGTGGATCGACGGCGGTTGACGGTAAGTCGATGGTTATCGTGTTGGAAGTCAGCGGTATTGGGCAGTGGTGGGAAGTGGCTGTTCGACGTGACGGATCTTCGTGAAACGTCCGGTGATCGAATTTCATCCGGCTGTGCTGTACGATCTTTCGGAATTTTGCTATGGCGTAACGGTGAAAACGCGCGAGGATGAGCAGAATCGTGAGGCCCGCGGGCCCCTGTAGGGGTGGCCTGTACGTCGTCGAGGGCGAGGTATGCCTCCTGGTGACGGCGATGCGGCGAGGTGCCCGATGGTCGTCACACTCTCACCAGGTTAGTGGATCTTTTTTCATCACCTGTACGAACTGTTCTCGTGAATAAGACGATTATCGTCAGCGTTTTGGGCACGTACATCTGTTATTGTTCCTAATCAAACAGGTTGTAGAAATTGTTTGGTAGAGGCGCTCCAAATTTGACAATGAAGCAGAGACAATTCGCAAAAGATCTTAAAGATTTGTTCTCTAATTGTGTAATTTAATTTTCAGGACGACGACCAGGATGCTCTCATGAAGGGCTTGGGTACCTTGAAGGAGGTGTTAAATGAGCACAGAGATCTATCCCAATTGGAACCCGCAGTCTTTCTCACTCCCTTTCTGGAAATCATTAGATCTGAAGAAACTACAGGACCTGTGACTAGTCTAGCGCTATCTGCCGTTAATAAGATAATTTCTTATGGTCTCGTTGGTTAGTTTCGTTTATTGTGTCAACAAACATTCTTACTTTTGTTGTCCTGTAACGTAACATATGTTACTTTTCAGATTCTAACCATCCTGCTGTAGCTATATGCGTAGAAGCCATAGCGGATGCTGTTACACACGCAAGGTTTGTAGGTGCTGATGCGTCTGGTGACGGAGTGGTTCTCATGAGAGTCTTGCAAGTTCTGAGAGCCCTCATGCTGTCGCCTGCTGGCGATCATCTCTCCAACGAAAGTGTATGCGAAATTATGCTGAGTTGCTTTAGGATATGTTTTGAAACGCGTCTTAGTGGTGAGTTATGGCGATCTCATGTTTCTGCTGACAAGTTGCGAGTGTGTTGTAATAAAATATCTTTACAGAAATTCTTAGAAAAACGGCAGAGCATTGCCTGAGGGATATGGTTCAACATTTGTTCACCAGGCTACCTCAATTTGTCGAAGATACCAGAGTCTTGCCGAATATGAAAGTAAGTTTTATAATATGCGATTTAAAGTATTTACATACGAGCAATAACGTTCTGTACATGAAGCAACATAATTTTTTTTGTTACAGAAAATGAGGACAAACAGCATTGAAAATACTCGTAGCAAGAGTAGAAAACAAAAAAGTTATACGAAGCAAAAATCCAAATCTACTACGGAAGACGTTGACGAGAAGGAATCGAGTATTTCAAGTGCAGTTGACAAAATACGAGCCAATCACTTGGCCACCACACCTGTTTCACCAGTCGGCAATATAGTTGACATGCAGGGAACGTTGAATCATGCAAGTGTTGATAAAAACGAGGACGAGAAGAGTGAGAGTAAAATTAATGTTAGCAAAGAGGATACTAAAGATGGAAACGACTGTATCAAAGCGACAGATAATCAGGAGGCTGATAAGAAACAGGAGATTGATAAAGATGGAAGCAATGGAGACATTAAGAGCGAGATAAAAACGATCGAGGCGAATAGCACGCCAGAAAATATCGATGTGGAGAATAAAGTTGCAGCTTCAGTGGAAAGTAAAAGTGTGGAGAATAAAGTTGCAGCTTCAGCGGAAAGTAAAAGTGTGGAGGATAAAGTTGCAGCTTCAGCGGAAAGTAAAAGTGTGGAGAAGGAAGATACGGCTGATCAGAAAATCGCGGATGAATCCGAATCTTCCATTAAGCAATCTATCTCCCCTTCATTGAGCAAGCTGTCTATCTCAGAAAATCAAGGTACTCGATCTTTTTATTATTTTAAAATACATTTCAATTTCCAAGCCTTATTTTTCGAATAATCTTGCAGGTGACGAAGAGAAAAGCATCGATTTAGCGCAATCTCCGACTGGTAGCGTGGAAGACTTGTCAATAGATGAAAACGTGGCTAGGGCGACTAAAGTGAAAGAGTCTGAACAAATCGAGGAGTATGTGAATAGTCAGGGTGTCCGATTTATTTCGTTGCAACAGCGAGCGCCGTACGGCGCGTTGTGCGTTCGCGAACTGTTCAGATTTCTCATTTCCCTGTGTAGTCCTTTTGACAAACAGAACAATGAAATTATGACCCACTTGGGTCTCAGCTTATTGCAAGTAGCGTTGGAGATCGCAGCCGACGCTCTTTCTAATTTCTTGTCTCTACTTGCGCTCGCTAAGGACGACTTGTGTAGGAATCTAATCTTGGTAAGAGAAACTAATTAACTACTATAAATATGTATAACGTCGTTCATTAATAAAGAAATGCATTATGTATTGTTTTTATGTATCAGCTACTTGGAACAGATAGATTGTCGATCCTCGCTGTAAATCTTCAAGTATCGTACTTGCTGTTTGAGTCGCAAAGAGAACATCTAAAATTTCAACTGGAACATTATTTAATTAAATTAATGGATATAGTTGTCTCTGAATCTAATAGAATATCGTACGAGCAACGGGAATTAGCGCTTGGTACGTTTCAATTTCGTAGTAATAAACGATTGTGCAATATATATTTATAATTTAAATTTTATTTCCATAATTTGCAGAGGCCATAGTAAGATTATGGAGAATACCCGGTTTGCCTGCTGAATTATATTTAAATTACGATTGCGGACTTTACTCTACAAATTTGTACGAGGAACTTATGAAAATGTTTTCTAAGGTATATCTCTTTTCTCGTATATATTATTGCAGATTGATATATAAAAGTGTAATTTAACTATCTAGAATCTTTATACCTTTGAAATTTTCTCTTAGAATGTTTCTCTGCCAATGACCAATGGTATGCATACCATGCAATTGATTTCCTTGGACGCCATAATGATGCTGATTGTCGGCATGGAGATTCGTTGCAAAGGCTGCAAGGAATTGTGCAAACCGTCGCGTCACGAGGCATCGTCAAATCTGCCCACGCGTGAAGACTTGCTCGATATAAAGTCGAACAAGCGGGTAGGTACTTGTTTTTCACTTATTTCTGATGCAACTACGATTTACTAAATTTCTCTTTGTTTATTTCCAGTGGTTGGTTCTCGGCACAGAAAAGTTCAACGAGAATCCGCGAGCGGGTATCGCAAAGCTTACGGAGCAAGGTCTGCTAAGCGATACTTCAGGTCACTCGGATCCTGAAAAAATCGCGAAACTTCTAAGAGAGAATCCTGGTTTAGACAAGAAAGCGATCGGCGAATATATCAGCAAGAAAGAAAACATGAACATTCTCAATTGTTTTGTGCATAATTTCGACTTAAGAAATACTCGAATCGATCAGGCTTTGCGACTTTATCTGGAATCGTTCAGGCTCCCCGGAGAAGCTCCTCTTATATTTCTTTTACTCGAGAAATTTGCCGAACATTGGCATGTGCGTATATTTTAGTATTTATTAGAACACACATATGTATATATATTTTAGTATTTATTAGAAATAACGCAGGCGCGAGATGGAATAACAAACCGTTGCTGTGTTTAGGATAGCAATGGTAGACCTTTTGCTTCGGCCGACGCCGCCTTTGCGTTAGCTTACGCGGTGATCATGTTAAATGTCGATCAACATAATTATAACGTAAGGAGGCAAAGCAATCCTATGACTGCTGATGAATTTAAGAAAAATTTGAAGAAAGTTAACGGCGACGTCGACTTTGATCAGGATATGCTTGATGAGATATATACTTCAATTAAGTAAGTGTTAGAAATATTTAAATTAGACACAGACCATGCGCAAATGTTATTCTAATTATAAATATTGTTTATCTGTTATTTCTGCAGAGGAGAGGAAATCGTGATGCCGGCTGAACAAACTGGACTAGTAAAAGAAAATTATTTATGGAAAGTTTTACTGAGAAGAGGCTGCGGACCTGAAAGTGCATACTTGAAAGTAGGCAATTCCGGTGAATTCATCGATAAAGACTTAGCTGAACATGCGTGGGGTCCTATTATAAGTGCTCTTTGCCGAGCTTACGATAAAGCACCAGACAGAACGTTGCAACGCAAAGTCGCTCAAACGTTCCTCAGGTTTGTTTATTCTTTTGCTACCTACGATGAATTGATTCCTATATTAGCTACAGCTTCTCATTCTTTTCTCTCAGTTGCGCGGCGATCAGTGCTTACCACGGCATGTGCGGTGACTTGGATACGCTCATAGTGAGCCTCTGCAAATTCACGGGCCTGCAAATCGGCGGAAAGTCCGAGCAAGTAGTTTTACATCTCGGTGGAAGTCCAAAGTCTCAAATGGCTGCTCGCACTCTCTTCAAGATTACGCATTTACATGGGGATGCCTTGAGAGCGTCTTGGAAGAACATCATCGATTGTTTGCAGTCGCTCTACGAGGCAAGATTGTTACCGAAAAATCTTACGGAGGCGGAAGACTTCATCGATTCATCTGGTAAAATATCTTTACTCCGGGAACCGACCACGCCCAAGACTTCCCCGGGTGATCAGGGAATACTTTCCACCTTCTATTCTTATATCGCTATGGATACGTCACGTCTGCCGCATCCCGCCGAGGCGACCGCGCGAAAAAAGGCTATGGAGTTTATTGCTAATTGTTATCTCAAGGAAATTATAGAAGAAAGCAAGTTTTTTCAGGTAAATTGATGATATGTGATTATTGGGTTACGACTTTAATATTTATTCTAACAATTCTCGTTACTTTGCAGAGTGAATCACTCAATTCTCTCGTTGGCGCTTTGGTGTCGGTGAATCCTAACGATGAGGATATATCTATATTTCTCTTGGAACTGTTGCTAGAAGTAACTATACAGAATCGTGACAGAGTAACGTGCATCTGGCCCGTGGTTCAGAGTCACTTGGATCGTTTGTTAACGGTGGCGGCGCGCGAGAACCATCCTTATTTGCTCGAAAGAGTAGCTGTGGGCATGCTGAGATTGGCGATCAGGCTTTTACGCGGAGAAGAGTTTGCGTGTCTATCTCCTCTACTACCTCTGACCCACTTGCCGTCCGCGACAACTGTACCATTGGCACGACAAATCGCCTACGGTTTGTTCGAGCTGTTGAAGACGGGCGCCGCGAACATCCATAGCGCGGAAGATTGGAAGGTAGTGTTCAGTCTGCTGGAATGCGCGGGTGCCGGCGCATTGGCACCCAAACGATCCAACACGGTTCTAGACGAAACAACAAACGCTCGGGCGTCGGTCTTGGATCCCAGACCCATCAGTCCTGTGCCGGAATGGGTGTTGGTGTCGCCCACTGGTACCGAGGCACCGCTTCCGGTAGCCGCCGACACGATAGTTTTGGCGCGTGATCTTCAGCCGCACGACTCGGCGGCGTTCGTCAAATGCTGCGACAGCCTAAACTTCCTGGTGCGCGACATGGCGCATGTGACGCCCTTCAACTTCGATCTGTGCGTCAATTGCGTGAGAACGTTTGCCGAGGCGGTGCTGCAATGTGCAGGCAAGCGGAACAGGGTGTGCAACTCCGCGGAGGAATCGGCTGATTATCAACGAAGCCCGGTACAGTTGCTGGAGCTGATATACACGCTGCACACGAGAATTGCACAGGTATTCCGATGGTGGGCAGAGGAAGGTAGCATCGACGACGGTATATCCCTGTGGCCGCAGGCCTGGCGACCGCTGCTGCAAAGTATCGCGCGACTCTGTTGCGACGCTCGCAGACTGGTACGCACCTCGGCAATCGCGTATCTTCAAAGCACCTTGATGGCGCAAGATTTGGCGCAGCTGTCCGCAATAGAGTGGTCGCAATGTTTGGAGGAGGTATTATTCCCGTTGTTGGCGCAATTACTGGGTCCGATCGCGTCCAACGATCCCATCGGCGTCGAGGAAACGAGAGTTAGGGTCGCGATGTTGCTCTCCAAGGTATTTCTTCAACGTCTGACTCCATTGCTATCTCTACCCGGTTTCTTGCCGCTATGGTTAACAGTATTAGAACTTCTACGCGCGTACATGCACGCCGACAATAGTGAGCTTTTGTTCGAAGCGATCCCCGAATCATTGAAGAATATGCTGCTGGTGATGTCGTCGGCCAATGTTCTGGCACCGAGTTCCAATCTCTGGGCACCCACGTGGCGAGCGATCGACACGTTTCTGCCGAATCTGAAAGCGGAACTCTTCCCGGAACCGCCCATTGCGGTTCTGCCTCCGCAACCGTCGCCGCAGCAGTCATCGCAGTCGCAAGTTATCAGCTTGGTCGGTCAAGCACAACAGCCACCGTCTTTTCCGGGCTCTATAGCGCCGCAACCAGAAAGTACTTTCTCTTCGGCGGACATCGAGTGTTCTAGCGAGAATAACATAGATACGAAGATCATGACGCAGCCCTTGGATATTCTAAATTCTGCGCAATCCGGCGGGATACCTGTTCCATTACCGACATTGATGTACAATACTGAGGGCAAGGAGACACAGCAAGTGATCACTCTAGTTAGCCAACCGGCGCCCAGCGTATCCAGTCCGGTCGCGGTGCAACCGACAGCTCAGAGTTTCTTTGACATTTGCTACTCGGCGAATTCTTTGACCGAAAAGACGGACGAACGACAGCAGCTCCTACAGGAGCAGCAACAACAGCAACAGTCAATGTCGCCGAGTGAGGAAGAGCACAGTAAATTGATGAAGAACACGGCACAAAATGTTGGTTTGGCAGACGAGAATCGCGACTTAATACTCGCGATGAGAAAATATGAAGAATGGAAGCAACAACAGGAGCAGCAGCAAATGCTGATGCAGCAACAGTGCACGCAGCATACGCAGTCGGCGCAGTATCAGCATTCGGTGACAGAAAATTCTCCATACCGCGTGGATCCATCTGAGGTGAATCGATGTCCTATATCTTGACAGGATCTTGAGGGGTCAATCGTCCGGGTCGATTGACTCTTCGAAATGCATTTGCTTTGTCTCGATTAAGCTACTTAATTCTTTACGCTAAGGATAACAGAATGATCACTGTGTAAAGATTCATTGACGAAACAAAGATAATGTTTGATAATGTCTTTACGCGACCGCACTTGCAATTGTGAGAAAATAATATGATAGCTTGATATTATTTCAAGAGAAAGAAATTAGATGGTTCATTTCTTTCAAAGTTGTGGTAAGTAGAACGTAACCGACTGTTTTATTTGCAGAAGATGACAGTTGATTCCACGGGTACGACGACGACGTTTAACTCCGCGTCGTATTTTAGCGAGGATCCGGCGGCGGATCTTCTCTTCGTCGTCACTAATCCTTGACCACTGTATATTTCCTATGTATAAATTGTATTATATAAAACATTTCTACAATGCGTGATTATGTTCTGTGTAGAGACAGTGAGAGTGATTGATTATAGACGAGGGAGAATAAGGGAGGATGAGCGTAGACGCAGAGTCATTGTATCTTTGGTTTGTATATTTGGAAAGCACTTATTATATACAAATAATATATATTATATATATATGTACTATATACGTGTGTACGCGTTATTGTTAAGATTATCGTGCGTCGTATAATCTTAGCAATAACAGTGACAATACAATACAGTTCTCAGCACCACTCCCAGCGCTCGATATTTCCGTTTTCGAATTTTCTGCATCACGGACGAAACGACGAAAGGAGCTCTTCGCGAACAAGCCAAATGCTTAGGCCAAATCATTATTTGAAAAAACCGATTAATCAGTTCCTTGCCATTAATGTTTTATCGGCGTGTTGCATGTGTTTCATATAGAAAATGGTGCAAACTGTAATAACGATTCATACAAATTCTCCTTAAACATTTACAAATTCTACTACTACGACAGGTAAGAGACTTCTTCTCTCATATTTGCATGAATACATGGTGTTAGACACGTACATGTACATGTTTAATGCGATTCGTAGAGAATGCCGAATTAATTGACAATGATTTCGCAGAACAAGAATCAAGAAACCGTTGTGATTTCGACGAGTTTCGATTTCAGGATATTGATGTAAATATGCGGAAGACGATCTTGCTAGTCGTCGCGTTTCCGACAGGTAAAGAGAATCCGTTCTATATATGCGTTTGTAGCGTCGAAAACTGAGCTCTTTACGAAATCTCATCGGTTTCATAGCCGCTATTTATAACTTATACTTTTAACACAATTCTAATGTTTCTTCATTCGCTCTATATCGTAAATCAATCTGTACATATGCAAATAATATATTGAATAAGAAGAGATTTATATATGTATTATGTTCATGTCCCAGAGCCAAAGAATATATCCAATAAATAAAGCAGTCCCTGCTCGATCAATACATTATTGATGCGATACATTCAATATAATATAAGTATTAATATTAATATACGATATATTAATATCAATATATGTATATATTTAGCGATTAATATTATTGCACAATATGGAGAAAGTGCAATACTACTGTGAATAATACTGATGTAAATGTAATCATTGATATCAGTTATAAACGTTAATTAATTAATATATTATTGCGCAATATTATGAAACAATATTGATCGCGTAGGGGCTGCATGTCGGTGTTGCGTTTTAATGCAATTCGGAACTACTGCGAATATTTCGTTTGCAGTCATTATTTTTCTTTCTTTGATTTTTTTCCCTTCCTGTACAATCGCTCTTCATCATGGAGGTAGCTCCCTTTCTTGAAGATCTGCCTGTGATTATTATTAGCTCTTAGGGGATCAGAGAACATTTTATTATATCCCTGAGAACGATGCCCTCGTTTTTTTTTTACTCGAATAACACGCATTTCCTCGCGTGTACGGATATGATAATATTCGTTGTCAAATATTAAAAAGTCGAAAAATTCTGTTGCTGGCATGGCACTTGCGCATTTTGTGTCCATGTACATAATATTATTCAATATACATAAATATAAAGCCCTGCGATTGAAAACCGTGTCTTTGGTCGTCGCCAAAAGTCATGCGATAAAAAAATTCTAATCATAAATTAATGTACATAAAAATATATCATTCATTTCTTTCTCTCTCTATCTTTCTCTTTCTTTCTATGATTTATTTCGTATTTAATCTCGCGAACAGAGACACTGTCCAGATCCACATCCGCATCGGCGTGTTAAGTGTATCGAACGAATTGTCTTTTCTCAGTTCACCGTTAAATCTTCTTGTTGATGTGATTAATTGGATCAGCGAGATAAATTGGACGGAATTCGGCTATCGTTAAGTTATTATCGCGCTGCGTCTGCAATAATAGCCCAACGTCTTACATTTCTCGCAGAGATGTTGGGGATGTACTTTGCTCTGGTCGGACACGTCCAGACCATCGGGTTTTTCCAACGGTCTCTGAAAATAATAGAAATGATTTTACCGCCCACTCTATCTCTGCGTTTCGCGAGAAATAATAATAGAAATCTTTGCTAGAGTATATCTCTCATCTTGCATATAAAGATATCTTTCCTTCATTCGATGCAATTTATATCATTAATATAATTAGCTAATTTATATTAATATGTTATTAATATCATTAATATTGTTAAATTGATATAATCTGTTAATTTCGATTTTCTAGAAGACTTGGCGATTGTACAGCGATTCTGGGATCGTTTAACGTATTCGGCGCAGCGGATAGCTATAACGCTCAATTAATTATAATAGGAATTTCGTGAACGTCTTTTGGGATCCGCAACGTAACGATTACCGGTGACTCCGACCGGGTATTTCTGCACACCGGGCGGCAAAGGGCGAACGAGCGAGCGAGCGAGCGATTATGCGACTATAATTAGCTTTCGCGTCGGTTTACACGAGATTTCGTTCTCTCGGCCGCGCAATATTTCGAGAGAGAGCGAAACGGTTCCAAGAGTCTTTTAGCGAGTCCGACCGGGGACTTCGCCGCGAGGAGGATCCCGACTAATTTTATATCTAAAGATTAATCGCGCGGGAGAGGCCCGTAACGGGCGGAAAGCTCCTCCTCCTCGCTCACCTGCTTGTGAGGATACACGTTTATGTGACACTTGATGCACTCCTGGCCCATATTGGCCCAGCTGTTGCCCGACATCCATTTACGTTTGCACTTGGGGCACTTGTATTCGCCAAAGCACCGCTTCTTGCCCTGGTACGGCGTCAGGCCCTCGCCCTTCGGTCGTGCCTGCGAAAATTATACGAATCTTTATAAATTCCGTCTATAAAAAATTTAGTTTCTTAGATTCGGCAATAATTGAACGACTGAATCGATCGTCGAAAGCTACATATTGGTTCCAGTCAGTGAATAGACCATTATAATATCAATGAACATAATTAATATCACACGGAATAGTATAATAATTGAGAATAATCGCGTGCATTTATTATTGCTTGATATTTTAATAAATTCCGTCAAATAATAGGTATCAACAAACAATAATTAAAAGATGTTCGAGATATGCGCAAGAAACTGTTGTTTGCAAAACATCTATAGTGTCAATCAATTCTTTTTTTTTTTAATTTAGATTATTTAGAGAATAATGACATTAATATTCCACTTTCCTATCAATTAATAGGAATTACGTGAAAAAACGTCTCCATCAGGAGAAGCGGCTTAATTGGCTCACTCTCGAATCGCGATGATTGACCGTGTGACGTCATGTGTCCCAGAGATGCTGTTTGTTGTCAATTAGCGCCCAATTGAGCCACGCGCATCTCGCTGTTGTTACATCGGGGCACGCGTGCCATTTACGTGAGTTATTGCTAAATTACCTACTTATGATGATTTTGTGTTTGATAGTGATTTATTTCTGACAGTCACTTCGAGAAAGGGGTAGAAAGAAAAAAAGAAAAGTTCTCTTCCATGTTTTACGTTTGTATTATTTAATCTTTTTGAGAGACATATTTTTTGATGATGAAAAAATTACAGCGTAGTTAAGAATAATCTCCGGATATTTGTTCGAGAAACGAGAATTTCTTATTATTATATATTTTACATTATTGTTATTCCGTTCATTTCACGTATATTTAAATAATTCGATTGTGCTGAAAAATTTTAGAGAATATTCTACGAAACAACAGAAAAGAAACACGTTGAAAGACGTGTTTCTTTTTCAAATTTGAGACGCATTAATGATTTGAACTCAATTTATTGAAGCACAAGTCCATTTAATCTCTATCTTTATTTTCTATATATCCATTGCTTTCTATCCAATTTTCTATCAATGCTTTATCCAATGCTCTATTCAATTAATCGATCTTCATGTTCTTGTAACAAAGATCTGATAAGATATATTTGAAACATTGTCTTGTTGTTGGAGGACATTGATGAAACACGATAATCGATCGAGGATTTCCATGAATCACATGATAAACGGGTTAATCGCATCTTGAAATCTTAGAATCGAATCATATGATATCACAAAGATTACATTCGATTGCTACTATCCTTTACTGCGTGCATTTGACTTCAAACTTCAAATCACGGTTGCAATCAATAGAGATTTCTGTAAATTGTCCCAAAATTACCGATTCTAATAGATTTCAAATTGTTTAAGAAATCTTATGATGTATATAATTTTTTGTATTCTAAAATATTTATTATTACTGCGTATTGTATATAAAATAATTGTCTAAAGCATTTAAACTTTAAAGCAATCATAAAATAGTTGAAAATACAGAATTAATCTATAGAAGTATTGAGTAAAACGAGAGAAAATATCAGTTTTTTTAAATTAATGTGTTAAAATTAAATTTTAGGACACTAATGTATAGTTTATATATTATTATTGAGAGGAAGAAGAATATTCAAAGATCCCGGAAGAAACTACCGACCTGCGGGCAATCTTTGATGTAATGTCCTTTCTTGAAACACAAGTGACACAGGTACGTTGACGGCGGCTTCTTCGCCGGTTTCCGGTCGCCTACAGCTAATTCGTTAAAGTGTACCGCTAAATCCGCGATACTTTCCGCCACGCTATCTCTCATGGGTCTGACAGATCCGGACGGATTCAACGCGTTCTGACGTAGATAAGCCTGCGACGTCGTACCGGGAAAATTATTCCAGACCGCAGGAAGCAGCTTGCTCTAAAATATAAACAGATAATCCAATCACGATTTATTTAAAATAGCAGGCTCGTTATTTTAAAACAGCATCGAGTAATAAACTGCCTAGCTTTTCTCCACCGTGATAGATCTTTCAGATATTTTTATTATTATTTCTTCGATTGAGATTTCTTCGATATGTCTGTATGAGGCTTTCCAACAGATCTTAATTTCTTAAAAATACAGAGTTTTAAGACGATTCGGAAATAAATCCTTTGATTTCTAAGACAATCAGTTAAGGATTGACTCAATGATAAATCCTAATAGTCAAGTGCTCCAATCGTCGCGGATGGCTACCTGGTCAGGTGGTTGCGACGGATTTTGGTCGGCGAAAGCCAGATAAACCCAATTGAGTAGATGCGGCGGGTAGGTCGATTGCTGAAGACCCTTCTGACTCGAAGAACCTATGCCGTTGATCGCACCGTAGCCGATCCGAGTCGAGTCCTGCAACTGCAGGCGTTGCACAGCAGGTGTCGAATGGCAAGCGGCCATATTTTTATCTAATCGGTTTGCAAGTTTATCGGTTCCGGGTGGTGTCGTCGTCTCGTGTCACCGGCGACAATTCCCTTCGGTAATCGTTTATCATCTCCCCGTCCTTGAATACAAACGTTCTTTCCATTTGACTCGTCGTCGAGAGCTATCTCTTCATTAATCTTCCAGGATTATAGGGAAAGAGATGTTAAAATTATCGAATGCTAATACTCCTCAGCTTCTTGACATTCCTTGAGATTTTATTTTGATCAATAATGCGATAGTCAACTCCGATGATTAGCACAAATGGCTTCTAACTTTGGAATTAGCGTCGCGAATCTTTATAGTAAAATATCATTATTTACGCGTTTAAGCAGAGTCATCGGCGTTTCGAGGAAACTATGAAACCGGAGATATTTGATGAAGAAAGTATTCAAGGAATGAAGATATTACAATCTCGAGTTTCTCTTTTCCTTCCTCTGGATTTTCACCACGAAATTTGGTCGGGTCGCTTCACCGTCAGTCGTTCTCCCGCGATGTAACGGTTCTCGGAAAAGTGCCATCTTCTTGCGGACGGACTCTTCAAAACGAGTGTTTAGCTTCTACATTGCAGGAATCGCTTTTACATGCTTTTACGCACATGTTGGATGGTCGTCGTTTCTCTACATGTGTTACCGGGATGCGTATTTTTGTACACATATTGTGGAAACGGCTTCCTCGAAATCTTCCGATATTTCGGATTCGATATTTTATACTCTTAGCAACAGTGGAAGTTTGCTTCACTCGTGGAATATTCTTTGCATTTATCATTAAGTACGCTTGCCCGATTTTAGATATTGATGATTTTATTATGATTTTAGGATATCGAGCTTATCCGGATATATTAATCCAGACAGCAAAGTCTCGTCGTTAAACTGCGTCCTAAATTCTTAATGACTCATCTCTTGCTTGCGAGACGTTTTAACGTTTGCGGCCATACAAATATAATGGAACGGCGGACGCTCTTCTTTTAGCTCACAGAAGGACGCTATATTACTTCAACGTATTAGTTCTATAGAAATGAAAATATGTAGTTCTACGTTATCAGTCGCGATAGTGTGAAATTGCAACCCGCATATGACTCACATCCATTTTCCGCGCGATCGCGCGCGTCAAAGTCACCACTCGAAGCGTTTTGAACTCGCATATTAATACTGAGCGATCTATCCGATCTCTATATAAGGAAAAAAGACTATTTTCGGATTGTTTGCACGCATCAGTCTTCTCAGGATCACTATCTGAAGCTTACAACCGAAGTTTCCGATTTTCACGCGATTTTCACGCAGTTTCGCTCGACTGGGTCCACGAGGCTCGAAACGGGCCTCAATCGCGACGAGTACGATTGTCCGAGTATGATGCGCTCGCCGCGCGTCATGTTAACTGAAGACGATCCGGCGTTGGGCGAAGAGACGCGCGACTAACGAATGCGTGCGGAGTAGCGAACGCGTAAAGGCAGAACGGAGCCTGCATGCAGGGAGCGGAGAGAGCCGAGGAGCTGAGCCCCGCCATGTGGTGCGTCTATTTCCGTGCTTGCTCTCGACCGACACGGCGCCTCCGAATGGACCCCCCCGACTCAAGCGGTTCCTTCTTGCTGTTCTTGATCGATCCGCGTTAGCTTCTCATGGTCGTGGCCCACGTGGCTTGACAGACGCGCCCGTTCACGCACGATGTCCGTCGAATAATTTAATTCTGGATGCATCTCTCTCGGTGCCCTTAAATACCCAGACTTCCGGATGTTCTCCGATGGTCGTTATTATTTCGATCTGACTACCGAAAAATATGTATCTTTGACGGAATGTTAGAGAGTGATTATTAGTAATTTTATCTTATAATATTAATATAATATTAATAAATATTAATTTTATAATTATAATGATCTTATAATTGTACTATAAGTAACGCAGTTTATTATGGATATATTATTGTTGATAATTATTTGAAGAAAATTATGTTATGTATTATTACTGATATTATTTCATATTAGCTAGTATTTTTATCACTTTACTCTCAAATACATCTCAAATTAAAAAGATTTTTAGATCATTATAGTAATATGTTATATTTTATAAATTATTACAAGTAATTAATAATGATATATTTTATTACAAACTGTAAATAATTATTGTACGTGACATGCATACGGCTAGAATGCTCTTATTGTTCGTCTAGGAAAGTCTTGACAAATATGCCGCAATGCACGAGAAACGTTCTATATTGCATCGGTATTTGTACTATTTTTACTATTTAATGTCGGAATCGCGTTTGTCGTTTGAAGGACCGTCGGCTGCGCCTTCGGTCACGATATCCAGAAGAAAGTCACCGAACTCATCTATAAATAAACTCCAATTGCTATTCGCGTGTATCGATTATATTCAACCGAGTTGCGGCAACAAATCGTTTATGACGCGAATGACATGACAATGCGGGGAAGTTGCATTCGTCTGAACGATCGCTCGAGTTGCCGTCGATAGGATCGAGCCGCAGTGAACCGTTCCGAAATTCTTGCTTTCACATTTCAATAATTCAATTTATTCGAACATTGCACATCTGACACAAAATCGAGTCTTCGTCTCAGCAGTTCGTCGTGTCGTGTTATATATGTATGTAAAACGAAATATAGACAATCAAGGTTTGTTTTCGTCTTAGGGGGTTGGAACTCCTTAAATGACGCATGGATATCCGTATCACCAAAGATTTTATTATGAAAGAGACTTACTATTTTTACAGAGTTGAGCCTTCGTCTAGTTTTCTGGCGTGATAATACGATGACGTTATGATAAAAGTGCTGACGGAATTTTAGACTTACAACGCGCAGTACCAGTTTTTTAAATCTGATGCACTTGATACCATGCTTTTATTGCTCGTAAAGTGGGCTGGAGGTATTACGATGTGTCTTAAATTGAAATTTGCAACAACTCTTTACATCGCTATTTGAATTCAAATATATATATATATATATATTTGTAATGTTATTGAGACGTCCGGTATATAGGTTTTCTTTATCTTGGCATCTATATACACATCCGTATCTGTCTTTATCTTATTTTTAGATTGTTGATGTAATTAATAGATAATCAGACTTCAAAGAATTATATTAAAATTAAAAAATGTACTATTAATAACACACGTAAGTAGGGATCGATATGTGTGTGACATAGGATAAATAAATATTAATAGTAGTATTTAGCAATATCGCATTAATTAATTTAATAATGCGATATTACATTTCCAGCTTTGACATAAAACTGCGTTTTAATATCGAACAGTATTCAAAAGCATAAAGACGAAATATATAAAATTCACATAATTTATTATTAGGTATAAGATAATAATGCTTATATAAAGCTTCTAACTGAAAAATGTCGATATCTATTTATTCTGTGTAACGGATTGCTAACATTACAGAAGTGTCCTTTCTTTCTGATGTTCGACCCCCTCGCCCTTTAACCGGTTCACCTGTGCTTTCATCGAGCGAGGACTACCCCTTACTAATTACCGGCAGATCGATAATCATCGATGAGGACCGTGCACGAGGCTTTTCGGAGCAGTCCAGGCTCGTCGGCGAGCGAGGCAACATTAAGAATTGCGGCTTCTTCGATCGTATCAAATATACACAAGACTGCGACTTTATCGCATCTGCTTGTTCGTATAGCTTTAGTTTGTAGTACATTTTCAATATTTCTTGGTATTAAAGTGATGGATTTGACCGGAAATTGGTTAAAGTTCATTCGTGATGTAAAATTCTACAAATTTAATACTGTTATTTGAAAGGTGAAACAAATTACAAAATTCATTTAGCTTATAGAATTACTTAAAAATAATAATAATTGTGACGGAAGAGATTGACTAATTATTATTCACTCACAATCAGTATCATGATATGCTTTTCAGCGTGTAAATCTTGGTGAGCGCAAAAGAGTTTACGATTTTTCACTAACGGAAAAAGTTCGTGAAATTTCTCGCCGCCGATCTTGCGGGTAAAATGGAGAAATATGAAAATATCGAGATAGTGGGCGAGGGAAGTTACGGACTTGTGATGAAATGCAGGCATCGCGAAACCGGACAAATAGTGGCGATAAAAAAGTTCTTGGAGACGGAGGAAGATGTTCAGGTGCGAAAAATGGCGTTTCGTGAAATAAGGATGTTAAAGGTCGGTATTAATTACTAAGATTATATTATTAAGGACTGATTTGTGAATGAAATAAATTACGCTCGTGGAATTTTTATTTAATTATTTATTCAATAAATGAAACAGTATATTTCTTAATATCACCGCATGATTTATTTATGTTTATTTCTTAAAACATTGCTTAATATTAAACGGCGTGATATCGTTTAGAAATTACGTCATGAGAACCTGGTGAGCATGATCGAAGTGTTTCGCCGAAGAAAGCGGCTTTATCTCGTGTTCGAGTATCTTGATCATACCGTGCTTGATGAGTTGGAGGAAAGTGAAAATGGTCTCGACAAGGAGAAATCAAGACGATATATTTTCCAAATACTTCGCGGCTTGGATTTCTGTCACAATCACAAAGTGAGCAAAATGTCTGCAGGACTTAATAAAATTATATTCTTGTTATAGCGTAGCAAAATCTTCTGTTGTAATTAGTTTGTAATTATGATTATTTTTACTTCTCATATCGTATCGCTATATTAAGAATTTTCTAGAGTTACATGAAATAAATTTTATCACAAAAAAATATATATTGCTGTTATAATAAAAGCATAATTATACTTTCCCCTAAAAATCACGATTTATTTTGAGTCCGTTATTGCATTAAAAAGATGTAGAACATTAAAACGCTTTTGGTATTCTAGGGCTATATGTATATTATAATTTTTTCATATAATTTAATCTTTTAAAGAGTTACGCGCACGTGAAATAAATCGTCAAAAATGGCTCTCTCTATTATAATAAAATAGATTACATTTTATTATAACAGTTGAAATCTCGATTAATTTATCCATTTAAATTAATACAAATACAAAGTATGTTTGTATCGCATGTTAATGTATCGCATATCGTTTTTCGTATATCAGCAACCTTTGGCAATAAGTACACCTTCGTTACGGTAAAGTTCACGGCCGTGACGCTTAAATTCCATGTTGCAGCAAGCCGTGCATGTGTAGTAACACGCGACCGCCGGATACCTAATGAATGATAGCATTGTAACAAACGAGGGCAATGGTTGCCGTATTTAGTCGAGCTCGGCTCGGAAAGTTCTAGCATACGAAAAACATTACGCGCTTCCCCGTTTGCAATTCAAATGAGAATTCCACAAATGATATACAATCTGCACTTTGCCATATAATTAATTTGATCCTTTTCCTCGAACGGTTCCTCCTATTTTGACCTTTCTGTTTTTAGAAATTTCTCTTTCTCTTTCTCTTTCTACTTTCACAACAAGATTCGGCTTCATCTATGTATTTTATAGGTCTCGCTATAAGTAGAATTTTAATTAGAGTTTTATTTTTTCTGGCTTGAATGAGACAGCAGATTTTCCTTCCGACAGATCATGCATCGCGACGTGAAACCCGAGAACGTGTTGGTGTCACCGAATGGCGTGATCAAGCTCTGCGACTTCGGTTTCGCGCGTTACGTCACCGGGCCCAACGAGTCCTGTACCGATTACGTGGCAACGAGATGGTATCGCGCGCCAGAGCTCCTCGTTGGCGATTCCAGATACGGCAGAGAGATCGACGTTTGGGCGGCCGGATGCATCTACGCCGAGATGGTCACCGGCCAGCCGCTCTTCCCCGGTGACAGCGACGTCGATCAGCTGTACCGCATCACGAAGATGCTCGGTGAGTTAGGGATGAAGAGGATGAATGATGATCGGAATTCTGTTAAAGGGAGACTCGATTAAATACTTTAATTTCAGAGATAAACTTGTATTTTTGTTTTTCGCAACAATGTTGATTCGTTATATTATTGAGATTTTCGTAAATGATAGCAGCAAGTCTTCACATTAAGTAGTAAACACTTAATTTTAAAATATAATTCTTATGCAGAATGTTTTTTTGGATAAAACTTTTCATTTAGAGTTTTCGCTAAATGGAAATGTAAGTTACTTACAATTAGTTATATCACTGTTTTAAATTTTATGTGGTTATATTTGGCCGAAAACAGGTCCTTTTCACAGCAAGCAGTCGGCAAACGGTAGCGGCAAACATTTACTTCTCCGGCACGCGAAAGCCGATGAGGTTGCTGGCTTAACGCGATCCCCAGCGGCTCTCCGAAGTCTCTTCCCAACGTGGAGTCCGATGGCAATCGATTTTCTGACACAGTGTCTTCGCATAGATCCTGCCGCCAGACCGAAATGCCTTGCGTTACTGCAGCATCCATTTTTCTCGCAGGATGGTTTTGCCGACAGGTTTCTCGGTGAATTGCAGCGACTCGTCGCGAAAGAATCCGCGATGAATCTGCTCGGGACCAGGAGGACGGAAACATCTTCCAGAATCTGCCGCAGCAGCATCGGAAGGTTGACTTAATGATCAGTTAATCTAACTCAATGACAAATTAGTTTAGCTTAAGTTAATTGAAAAATAGTGAAATTCCCGCAGTGAAAAATAAGTTGTTGAATATTCCATTACAAACAATGCATACCTACGCTGTTAAATTGTAAAGATAGAAATTAAGAAAACATAAAATGAGTGTAAAGTTATAGTTTTATTTCATAGATTTTATCCTTTTTTTCTATTCTTATTTACAAGTAACTTGCGTTTATCGTTTTTCAGATGGCAGATGACGTTAATCAAAGAGAGACGAGCGGCGAATAACATGGAACTCGAAGCTACGGAAAGCGAAAGCTCGCCGGGAGATCGGGTTAACGCGAATCCCGCGAGTAAGCTGCAGATAAACCGGCCGCGCGAATTACGTTACTTCGGACCGGTCTCGGTAATACCGAACACCACGTATATTCGACGGCTGGAGCACAAAGGGCTTCTGATCCCTGAATCGAAGGGCTGTGTCTTGCCGGCTCTTACGTCGAAGACGAACGCCAAGAGAAAAAAGCTCGAGCTGCCCGGCGTGAAAAATCGTTGATCGTGCCCGATAAAAGAGCACGTTTCCTTTTCGTAATATTAACGTCGAGGAAAGACCAAGGGAGAGCTCATGAACTGTACAGAGAAACTCATTATGTGCGAGACGTGGAGCGTGTATGTACATATTTATATTTTCCACACTCTATAAATGGACAAATGTAAATGTAAAATGTCGATAGTGTGTCTGTAATGCGCGATTTATTCGCACTCTGTAAGAAAGAGAATAAACACTGAGATTTCCTTTCACTTTATATCGAAATACACCGGAACATATGAATATCCATGCACATTTTCATGTTTTCGAATTTCCGGAAAGCGTTTCGGCAGCCACATCGTGTGTTTATTTCGCAATTTATTTCACATACGTGTATACTTTTTTAATAGCGTATTCTGGAGATTAACTGAAATGAAAAATTCTAGTACAAAATTGTTGAGATTGCAATTAGTCGAGTCATAAATATAATAGACAAACTTGTTCAATGATAAAGTTTGCACATTCAAGTTGTAATTATGTTTATATGTGTATCGATCTCTATTATTAGCGATTTATTTGATTAATTTTTTATTTTTACACAGATAATATATATTGATTTCTGTTGCGTAATTGAATTTGATAATTTAATTTCTTGTCTGCAAATATTTCGCGCATTATAATAATCAGCGAGTATATTGACAGTAGGTTAATTATTAATAGCAAAATTCAACTGTTAACACGCGATTTGTTTTATTCTTTTCTTTTTTTTAAATAAAATTTAAATATTTGAATATAATTACGTGAATTATTAAATTTAACAAAAAATTTGCGTTAATTTGAAAAATTGGTATATAGTTTTTTATTAATTATTATCTATATTTTTATTAAATTAATGTATTATTGTCCTCTTTTTACGTTTCAAAAATAATGAGAGTACATAATTCCTTGCAACGCAACGAAAAGTTGCTTTTTTAAATAAGAATTAATTTATTACCGTTGCCTTTTTTTATGTTTCGAAAGTAATAAGAGTGTTTAATTCCTTACGGCGAAAAGTACAGCTTTTTCATAGCTTTATTATCGTTGCCCTTTTGCATTTCGTCGCGCCGTTTAATATATAACGTCGATAATTAATTCGAGAAACGGAATATTCCGCGTATTCATTTTGCAATCAGGCCGATCCTAAGCAAAATTTTTAGCAATTAATATTTAGGAATAAAAAAATTACTCTTTTCGAAAATCTGGACAATAGAGTGAGATATCTAAAACATAAAGATATAAAGATTGAAGGTGGAGATAAAAATGATCCGCCTTTTTACCGTCAAATACGTGTCGATAACGGTACGGTAAAGAACGCGCGAAACTTGCACGGCAATTAACGAATGGGCCAATCACGGTCGAGAAAACGCGCCGGCCGCCATTTAAAAATCTCGGCCGCGATTGGTCGGTTCGCTCGTCGTTGCCGCTTGAATCCTAGATCCTACATTCATTCATCTACGCGCCATCACAGTCTCATCACTCTCATCGGAGTTCGGAGTTCGGAGTCTTCGCGACACGGCGGCGAATTTGGCGACGGGCGACGCGCGACGCGCGGTAAGTAATGGTCGACGTTTGTTTTCTAACGACGCGCAGCGCGCGATCGCGCGCCTTTGTTTACCCGCTCGGTTGGCGGTTGGCGTTCACACGGCCGAGCGCCGACTCGCCGACTGCGCCGAGCGCGCATTTCCCTCCGAGCCTCCGAGACGCGGCCGCGGCAGGCGGCAGGCCGGCAGGCACCGCGAGACGCCGAGCCACATATGTTCCGATCGGGATATTCGGGATTGATGGACGGACTAGCGAGCCAAGGAGGGTCGCCGCGCGATTGATTACTCCCCGCAATTGATATACTGCAATTAATACATGTATGTAGAGCCGATAGCCTCTCGTCGATAAGTTTAATAATATCTCGGCGTCGCCGTGCTCCTTATTGTTGGCGGGTACAGTTACATTCGAATGCGTATGTAGATATGTATGTACAGTCCCGATTGAAATCCGACATCTCAGCCGTCAATCGCGCGAAACTGGCGTTTGTATATCGACGATTTGCCGAGGTTCCTCGTCCCCGAGATTGATTGCTTGAACTGTCGTGCTGATTACGAGACTTCGTGAGATTGCAAGTGTCGAGAGCGGGTCGCAACCTCGTACGATTCTCTCCTTTTGCCATTTGCGATATTTTTTCCCCTTGTGATGTGAAAGCGCGCATCGTGCGTTAAGAATACGCATCGAATTACGCAAAGTCACGTAATTTGTATTCGGGGGTTTAGTGCGCGCGCGATAGTAATTAAATGATTTCGTAGGTGAGTGTTCTACGAGATTTCCGAAAATAATCTAACAAAGACGAGGAAGAAGGGGTGGAGGTGGAGGAGGAGCAGGAGGAGGCCAGGAAAACATCGACACCGGCGTACACGTTGCTGCCATCCATCGCGTTGGTGAGTCTTTTGTTACATTTAATTTTGAGGTAATGGATTTATGAAAATCATATTAGATATAGAACGAATATGGATAGAAATAAACGGAAGGACTAAAAATCTTTCTTCTCCCTCGACGATTATTATTATTATAAAAAAAATTGAATTTGCAATATTAACAAATGGGACAGTAAGTTATTTTGTATTATTTATTCTCGTAAATTTTGTCTATGAGATCTAAATTCGTTATTTATTTTCACGGTTCTTCTTACGTTAAAAAAAACGAGAGACTTAAGCTAAAAGATTAAGAAATATAATGTCTTTCACAGATCCATTGCTCTTTGAAATCGATGGGCTAGGAAACTCGAGTGAAAATATTCAATCCTAGACATGTTTATAACTATATCTGTCGATCTGTTGTACAGATAAGAATACAATGCTCATAAAATAGAGTTTATCATTAACGGTCGTTTACCGAATTTTTTAGTTTATTGTTTATTGTTAGAGAAAAATGCGCACGAAAAAAATTTAAAATAAAAAACTGTGATATTTATATTTTAAAAGCGGAGCGCGCTTTAACTTTTTGTTTCTATATTTCATAAATAGCGAAGGTGAAAAGATGTTTACGGGTATTTTTATATGAGTTTATACGCGTGTGAAACGAAGATAAATTACTATATTTAGCGTGCGATAGAAATATATTAAATTGAGTGGGTTACTTTATATTTTTCCTTTTTTTCTCTCAAATATTTTTCTAACAAAGGAGATCTGCGTTTGGCCTCAATATTTCTTTTCAGGATTGAATATTTAACATTATATAAACTGTTGAAAGATTTTTTATAATATGACATACATTCTGTGAATGTAAAACGACAGTAAATACTTCACAGACGCGTATAACGTATTTTTAATTAATTTCATTAATGAGAAAATATGCTAATGATTATTAATTGCGTTCATCGTTATATTACGTTAATTTTACTTTAATCTTTCGTAGCCCATCCATTCACGTTTGATATTTAACTCGATTTTATATTACATATAAATACTAGTGTGATATAATATTAATTATAAATATAATATTGCATTGCTTGAAAAGATTATATACATGACATTCAACGAATATTTCGATAATTGCGAAACGAAAGAAATTTTTATATAAATTATCTTGATTCCCCTCATCGAGAAATTCCCCTCGATTTCTTTTTATTAAACACATATATAAGTATTATGACAAAAGTATATGCACTCAATATAAATATCTGCAGATCGCGAAACACAGAAGATTAGTTTTTGTTGCATGTCGCTACGTCAATTTTTCGTCAAGTTATAGCGTTTCGAAAGTCCGACGCGCACGTACTTTTGACGTGTGATTTGACAGGTGCGCTAATGCGTAACTAAAAGGGCTGGTGCGAAAACATGTGTAACACGCGTGCTTTGAAACACGACACGCCGCCGTCGAGAGAAACGCACGTGCGCGTTGGCCTAACTCCGTCCACTCCGTCACTAGATCGAAATCACGTGTCGACAAAAAATCGCTGATATTTTCGCGTAGTAAAATCGCAGCAAGACGATCTTGGTCTCGTTTAGAAGCTAAGACTCTACTCTTTCCAACGAGTGCAGAATTACCTACCTTGTACGACTAGTTTGTGAGGTATCGTCAATTAAATAAAATTAATTTTGCTCCGAGAATTGTTTCCCATTTTTAAGATAAAAATCACCATATTTTTAAATTATATTATCTTGAGTGAGGAAAGTCGTAATTGATTTAAATAAAATAAACTACATTGAAAAATGTACCCTCTTAGCGTTTCTAACGATATCAGAATCAATTATTATTTCGTCTTATTGCGAACGACAATAAGGGAAGGATAGGAAATGTTCTAACATCACATAGCAGGTTTACATTAATTTACTTAATAGACAATGTGTTGATGTTTATTAATTGTATACTTAGTCTGATAATGAGCCGATTCCACTCCAATCTCATTCATAATCTGTCCATCTATATTCAAAGGGGTTACACCACTGTAGAAATATAAAATAAAGCGTTTTTTTACGATTTTTTTTTTTTTTTGATGGAAGGAAAAGTAAGAGGATAATATTCAAGGATGTAATGAATCATGTTTTGAAGTGTTCAAAAAAAAATATTTATTCAATAATAGTACAAAATGGCGACGCTGCAGCCATTCTCGCGTGGCATGTTTAATTTGACGCGCCCTGCGGCACGCAGTATAACTGACGCAAATTTCAATCTAGAAAAAAAACAAAAAAATTTTCTCTCTACATGAGTATAGCTAGAAAAATACGTAGGGGATTTTGAAAATATTAATTTTTGTGTGATTAGCGAGCATTTGAAGTAAACAGTTCAATTTTTGACAAAAAAAGGGCAATTATTTGTTAATAAATAATGTTAGAATCAAGTTATCGAAAATACCGTACGTATTTCTCTTCGGAATGTTATTTTAAAGATATGGTCAAAATTTGGAGTGAATAGAATGAAAATTGTTGGACTTATGCTGCGTGCCGTTTTAAAAAATCGTTTCGAGAAAAACGCCTTTAAAGTTTTCAGATGTGTTATGGACGGGAAAAAAAGAAAAATTTGACTGTTTAAAATTTTTTACCATTAATCTGCTATCCCTGGACCATAAAGCTGCCCTTCCCTGCTTAAATATTCCTCCTCATTTTCTTTCTTCGTCGATTTTATGCTGCGTGCTTGTTTTGCCGCATCTGTCAAAGACTGCTCGGTGTGCTTGATCCGCATAGCATCGGCTTCAAGGCAAAAATTGTATGCTTGGAGGCCAATATCCATCTCCAAAATTTTCATAATTCGCAGAATGTTAGTCAAACCGTCGTTAAAATTACACACAGCAATATCAGTCGCTACTTGCAATACTGTTTTGCCACTTGAGTAG